TAAAATCTGGCCGTATCAGCCGGTAACAGTAAATCTGTTAATAGTTCCAAATAGAACTATTACCATCGGTGGCAATAAAGGATGTTAGTTTGAATAAAGTGCTACTTGGGACTAAGTTTGTTATCCAATAATGTACATGAGGAACATACACAATCAATGGGTAGTTTTGAATTGGTAGCATTACCCATGCATCTTAAAACACCGAGAAACGATAAGACGACAACAGAGAAAACCCACATTGCACATGTAAACAACCAACTCTAAACTCGCTCACGTCCAATATCCAATGTCTTTGTCACAACGTGTGCAAACCAATTGGTTTCTTTGCACTCTCTTCTTGTTGTTTTGTTTCAAATCCAGGTCATTGATATTGTCCAATTGGTGGTAGTCTAGCCACTTGGCTGCACTAATTCTAGTCAGTTTGGTAGTCGTTTGTGTATCATGTAGTTCGATCGAGTGCGTTTGTCTCAAGGCAGTAGGGTCTTGGGATCCAACAGCTATTGCACTACCAGGTAGGGGGTCGGTTGGCTGCTGTGCGGAAAACAGTAACGAGAAAAATTCGAGTGCTAAGAGAGGTTGGTTGTGTCAAAAGCTAAATAAATAAATTAATAGTTCAAACGGTATGAAGAGGTCGTAGTGTACGAATAAAAGGGGTAACGGTGATGATAAGAAACGAGGTTGAAATAAGCTGACGTGATGGTGGCAGTAGTAGGTAGATTACAAAATATGCATCAGACACATTCCAAGTGGGAGATGGCATCCCATGGGTGAGTACATGTTTGTCGAGTCTTCACTTGAAGCCGTCCACTGAGATCTGTGGGCACTCCTGCTGGCAGAATATACCAAACGGGGCAAATCTTAGTAAGTAAAAGTGGGGGCGTAACTGAGTTTTCGGTCCTGGTAGGGTCTTCGTGTAGGGATGGCTTTGTGTACTTAGCACGCTGTGTACCATTATCACGTCACTCCTTATTCCCATATAACTCAAAGAGGACTATTTTAGCTGTCGGAGTTCATCTTCGTGAGATTTCTTCCTTAACTCCATCATCCACTTCGTTGCTCGTCTCTAAGAAATTTACGTTTCTTTCGAGGAGAGCAGGTGAATGAACATTGTGAACCTCGAGGTGAGGCCATGAGTTTGTCTTAAGCAATGTAAGAAACAACTTTGGGGTGATTACATCAGGTTGTCTATATAAAAGTGGAGAGTTGGATTTGAAGTGTAGTTAGAACTGGCGTCCAAGCTATCTGTGGTTGCTAGTCCTATATAGAGAAACGTTTCATCGATGCCAGGCTTGGCTTGTAGCCCGTGTAAGATATTCTGTGCGTTATTCCACATGCATTTTTCACTTGTCGTACATTGTGAAGGATGGCTTCTTGGACACTACTCCTCACAATCTACCAGTGCTCATCTAGTATTAGCTTTCATCACGCTTATGAATGTGGATAGTGTTGAAAATTCTTCCTCGTGGCCGTTAATTTTCCCCTGCTGCAGCAAAGGTGTGGTGCATCTTTGTTCCTGTATATTTTCTCTAGTTCAATCACGTCAAGAATGACTGCGCTGTGGTTCTTACTCGCTTCTGATGTTTAAACGTGGACCTACTCGGCTAGGAGCTAGTCATTTGGCAGTAGATAGTGTAATAGGAAAAACACATTATACGACAGAATTGCCGATTATTTGTTTCCTCGCCTCAACCTGTATTCTAACTCTTATCGAGGTCTCTTGTTATTCACACTTTATATTCTTCAGTCTTCCCTGTCGAGACTTCTGTTATTTGGTCCTGGTTAAGGATAAATATTTTGTCATTTCATGTGCCTTGATACGAGGCATCCAGTTCTACAGGTGACTCTGGAGCCAAGATAGAAGTGAGTCAGTGAGACTCGACTTCGCGACTTTTTGGGTACTGTGTTTAAAGCTTCTCCGAATCCATAAATATTGCTTAGATTGGTACCTTTCCGCTCTGGAAGGTTCTCAAGCTGTACACTTCTAGAAGAAGGCCAGATGCTCAAGACTTGTCTTCTCTAGATCCGTATCATGTCTCGCAACTGATCTTGTTTTTTAAGGCACAACAGTGAAACGGACCAGAATACACTGAAGTGTCAGTGGACCTCGATCAAAAACTCGCAACACAGGAAACTACGAAGATAGTCATGTTGACTGTGTAGCAATCTACGTTAGCTGATTAAAACAACCTCCTATTAGAATTAAAACAATGTAGGTTTTACTCCTAGTTACTTCCTTGCTTTCTGTTGGGCTGTAATTTCTACTATTCTTCAATGAATGGCAAACGTTTGTGAGTTTAAAATTAGAACTTCGTATTCCATTTCTTCCACGTATCGGGTAATTTATATCTATCACAAACACCTTGAATTTTTTTCAAACTTTATACATTGACACGCTAACATAAATCCAACCACTGGACCAACCATATCGAAAAACGTATGTATATAACTAATCAGTCTGCTACATACCTCCATCTGTTTACAGCTTCTCAGGCAAGTTTTGTCGCAGTAAAACTTCACGTCATGGAGTAAATACCTAATTTCCTTTTGAGCGACGTACGTTAGCTGAACAAGGAAGAACAGAAACACTTCCAGCTCAAACTGAAAAGCATAGTTATGACCAAAACCTGGCTCTCTACGGACTTCACGGGCGATGAAGTGAGCGTTCACGACACAGTGCTACCCGACTGTGACAAGAAAAACAAAATAGGAGGCGGTGTGGCGATATATGTTGACAACATTCTCAAAGCCGCGATGCCGTAGAAGATCAAGCTAGATGAGTTATCGGGCTGTCGCTGATGTTGCTTTAAATTGAACAACGTGAACTACCTGATCAAGGAAATATATTGTCCATCCCACACACAGAAGTAAAATGCACCCAAGGTAATACCGATGCTATCAAGCCTGAGATTTGAACGGATACTCTTAAGCGGCGATTTCGATACCCCATCACAGAATTGATGTGATAGCGGGAGGGAGGTTTCACAAGAATTTCATTGGAGCCATAAAAATCCTCAGCATGACTTAACATTAAGACGACTTTAGGAAATGGGGGAAAGACAAAAATCTTTCAAGACATGAATATCTGCAACAACCTGAATATAAATATTCGGTTTGGATGCAGAACTAACGAACCAGTTTATTAGATAAGGCTAAACAATGTTAATCTGTATGACGTACGAAGCGTTTTTGAGTGACTCGTATTAAATTATATCAAAGCACAAATTCTGTATTCAATCTGGACGGTTCTGATTCGAGAAACAGAATAAATTATATAAAAGTACAAAATATCTCAAACGGTACAGCCCGTGCAATACAGCTAAGGGATATTCTAGAATAAATTAACATGCCAAACAACACAAGGAATAGTTAATAAACAAGAGAATTAATAGAAATATTCCCAACAAGATGGGACCAGATATCTATCTGCAAGGGTTCTAGGAACCTTTCCAAAAAGACAGTCAAAAGTTAACAGGCATACACTGAACCACGCAGTAATCTTGATTTTTGTCAAACATGACGTTGCTGTCTATAGTACGGCAACAATCGACAGTAAATTAAGTGACAAAATATTTATCCTTAACCAGGACCAAATAACAGAAGTCTCGACAGGGAAGACTGAAGAATATAAAGTGTGAATAACAAGAGACCTCGATAAGAGTTAGAATACAGGTTGAGGCGAGGAAACAAATAATCGGCAATTCTGTCGTATAATGTGTTTTTCCTATTACACTATCTACTGCCAAATGACTAGCTCCTAGCCGAGTAGGTCCACGTTTAAACATCAGAAGCGAGTAAGAACCACAGCGCAGTCATTCTTGACGTGATTGAACTAGAGAAAATATACAGGAACAAAGATGCACCACACCTTTGCTGCAGCAGGGGAAAATTAACGGCCACGAGGAAGAATTTTCAACACTATCCACATTCATAAGCGTGATGAAAGCTAATACTAGATGAGCACTGGTAGATTGTGAGGAGTAGTGTCCAAGAAGCCATCCTTCACAATGTACGACAAGTGAAAAATGCATGTGGAATAACGCACAGAATATCTTACACGGGCTACAAGCCAAGCCTGGCATCGATGAAACGTTTCTCTATATAGGACTAGCAACCACAGATAGCTTGGACGCCAGTTCTAACTACACTTCAAATCCAACTCTCCACTTTTATATAGACAACCTGATGTAATCACCCCAAAGTTGTTTCTTACATTGCTTAAGACAAACTCATGGCCTCACCTCGAGGTTCACAATGTTCATTCACCTGCTCTCCTCGAAAGAAACGTAAATTTCTTAGAGACGAGCAACGAAGTGGATGATGGAGTTAAGGAAGAAATCTCACGAAGATGAACTCCGACAGCTAAAATAGTCCTCTTTGAGTTATATGGGAATAAGGAGTGACGTGATAATGGTACACAGCGTGCTAAGTACACAAAGCCATCCCTACACGAAGACCCTACCAGGACCGAAAACTCAGTTACGCCCCCACTTTTACTTACTAAGATTTGCCCCGTTTGGTATATTCTGCCAGCAGGAGTGCCCACAGATCTCAGTGGACGGCTTCAAGTGAAGACTCGACAAACATGTACTCACCCATGGGATGCCATCTCCCACTTGGAATGTGTCTGATGCATATTTTGTAATCTACCTACTACTGCCACCATCACGTCAGCTTATTTCAACCTCGTTTCTTATCATCACCGTTACCCCTTTTATTCGTACACTACGACCTCTTCATACCGTTTGAACTATTAATTTATTTATTTAGCTTTTGACACAACCAACCTCTCTTAGCACTCGAATTTTTCTCGTTACTGTTTTCCGCACAGCAGCCAACCGACCCCCTACCTGGTAGTGCAATAGCTGTTGGATCCCAAGACCCTACTGCCTTGAGACAAACGCACTCGATCGAACTACATGATACACAAACGACTACCAAACTGACTAGAATTAGTGCAGCCAAGTGGCTAGACTACCACCAATTGGACAATATCAATGACCTGGATTTGAAACAAAACAACAAGAAGAGAGTGCAAAGAAACCAATTGGTTTGCACACGTTGTGACAAAGACATTGGATATTGGACGTGAGCGAGTTTAGAGTTGGTTGTTTACATGTGCAATGTGGGTTTTCTCTGTTGTCGTCTTATCGTTTCTCGGTGTTTTAAGATGCATGGGTAATGCTACCAATTCAAAACTACCCATTGATTGTGTATGTTCCTCATGTACATTATTGGATAACAAACTTAGTCCCAAGTAGCACTTTATTCAAACTAACATCCTTTATTGCCACCGATGGTAATAGTTCTATTTGGAACTATTAACAGATTTACTGTTACCGGCTGATACGGCCAGATTTTATTTAACCTATGTACTTAGTTATCAGGATTAATGACCGGATATTATCGACAATGCACATATTAAGGGTAATGAGATTACATCACATGGTGTACTTAATTTCTCTGTAATCTCAGTCCTTGTTTATTCACGACTATTTCTTAAGCCCTCGACTCCATAATGGCACGTGCTTTTATTTCCTGTTCCTCGTTTATCAGCATCTAAGTTCAGGTAACTCGAATGTGATTGAGAGACTGACTTTCCAGGCTGAGCTCGTCAGTGTTCCTTTAAACACAGTCTAGTGTACTCACGGCAAACAGGTATAATACGGTTGTCAAGTGCCTAATTCAAAATGGAAAGCTGAGTTATATTATATATATTAAGTAGGATTGCCAACGCTCACTAGTAGTATTATGCAACACTGCGATTAGCAAGCTTTTTATCTAGATAGGGTGTATGGTGGTGAGTTCTGTATCCAAAACAAATTTTTAATCCCATGGGCTTTTACGTCAAATTCTTTGGACATGCAGACTGATTACTAGAAAAGAATGGTTTATATGAAGGCAGCATAAAACACAAACGATGAACTCTATGTCTTTGGCAACTACTTTTATCGCTCCGAAAAACAATCAGTCGATTCAAATAATAATCATTACTATTATTGTCATTATTAATACTATTATTATTACTATTATTGTCGTTCTTATTATTATTATTATTATTTCCCACATTATTCACCCTCTTTTATACTTATACAGCGGCTCGTCTTTGGTGGAAATCCGACTGTATCTAAACGTTCTCGAGTCACTGTCCGGTTGAAAGTTGTATGTTACCATCGAATATGAGTACTGAAGCAGTTTTTCTGAAACCACGTGCGCCATTCAAACTGGCTGCCTTCAACGTTCGCACATTTATGCAGGTCGGACAACAGATAGGGCTGGCTATGTCTTTGGAAAGTCTTAATATCGACGTGTGTTGTCTATCCGAGACCCGTATTCAAGACTCTAGTGAAGTACTACAAATTCGCTCTCCATCTGTCACTTCAAAAAGCTTGTTTTACATGCGCTTATCCGGGGACCCTGTGGCATCTTCGTCTGGTCTCGCTGGCTTTGGTGTCGCACTAAGCGCTAGAGCTGAGGCAGCACTAGTCGATTGGATCCCCATTAACAGTCGGTTATGTGCTGTTAGATTAGAAAGTTCCATCAAAGTGAGAAGAAATCGGCGTGAGAAACGATGTCTTTTCGTCATCTCCGCCTATGCCCCGACAGATTGCAGCCCGGATGCAATCAAGGATGAGTTTTACCACCAGTTATCAGTTCTTCTCCAGAAAGTGCGTTCGACAGATATTGTACTACAAGCCGGAGACTTGAATGCTCAGGTCGGGCGTCTAGGCACAGAAGAGAGTCGTTTAGGTGGCCGATGGGGACTTGTTGGTCGCAGGTCAGATAACGGGGACCGTCTACTGCAACTGTGCACAGACCACAACCTGTTTCTGGCTAGCACTAACTTTCGGCACAGTCATCGCCGATGTGCCACCTGGCGTCCTCCCTCTGCATCTCAAGCCTGGACTCAGATTGATCACATCGCGATCAGCTACCGCTGGCGTGTTTGTGTAAAAGACTGCCGCTTCTTTTGAAGTACCTATCTGGACTCTGACCATGCCTTGGTCTGCGCCAATCTTGCCTTACTTTTCAGTGGCCAACGAAGTGACCACCACCAAAAGATTGATGTTAGCAAGCTGGTTGCAACTTCTGTTGGAAATAAGTATCGAACCGAGCTTGCCTCTAGGCTAGCTACCACTCCACCGAAAAGTATAGATGAGCATTGGTTGCAATTGCATGACGCCATGAAAATGGCGGGAACCGTCAGTTGTGGGTTTGCGAAACGTCCCGCTTTTAAGCACTGGGTTTCTTCTGGTTCCTTACAACTCATTGAAGCCCGTCGGTCTACTCCGGGTAACCGTGAGTTTGACCATAAACGAAGGATTTTACGTAAGGAAATCGGGCAAAGCTTGCGTGAGGACCAAGAAGCCTGGTGGTCGATGCGTGCTAATGAGCTGGAAGCAGCAGCTGCATCTGGTAACTACCGGAAGCTCTTCCAACTCATCCGAGCCACTGGCAGCAAGAAGTCTGGTGTGAGTGAAACAATCTGCGAGGATGATGGGATGCCAATCACTAACATCCATCGACGTCTTGGACGGTGGGGAGAATTTTTCGAAGGGCAGTTCAACTGGCCTGCTGCTCCGGCAACATCGGTCAGACTGTCCTGCCCTCCATGGCCGGTGACGACTGATCCACCAAACGAGGAGGAAGTCCGCAAGGAACTCCAACTCTTGAAGCGTTACAAATCACCTGGCCCAGATGACTTACCTCCGGCTCTTTTTAAAGATGGTGGTGACTTTTTGACTAAGGAATTGACGACGTTGTTTACAAAGGTTTGGGATCTAGAGAGTGTGCCAACGTCATGGAATGAGTCGATAGTTGTCCCTATCTTTAAAAAGGGTTCACGTCGTTCCTGTAACAACTATCGGGGGATATGTCTACTTCCGATTGCGTCCAAGCTATTGGCTTCCGTCATACTTCGTAGGTTGTTCAAAACCCGAGAAAGATTGACTGGCGAGGAGCAGGCTGGGTTTCGTTCTGGTCGAGGATGTATTGATCATATCTTCACCCTCCGCCAAATGTTAGAACACCGCCATACTTATCAAAGGCCAACAATCGTAGTGTTTCTTGACATCAGGGCTGCCTTCGATTCGTTGGATAGGACTGTTCTCTGGGATTGTCTATTGAAGAAGGGTGTGCCTGAGAAGTTTATTAACATCCTAAAAGCCCTGTATAAAAACACCTCAGGCAGAGTGAGGGCATAAAACCACCTTTCTCCATTGTTCCATTCGAGTAGTGGGGTTAGGCAGGGTTACCCAATCTCACCATTCCTCTTCAACTTTGCCATCGATGACATTCTGGAAACAGCTCTGATGAATGTAAGTAATGGTGGTGTAGATCTGTTGCCTGGAGAAAGACTTCTCGACCTTGAGTATGCGGACGATATTGTCTTACTGTGCGATAATGCCCAAGGCATGCAATCCGCACTTAATCAGTTGGCAATCAGTGTCCGTAGGTATGGTATGTGCTTTGCACCTTCGAAGTGCAAAGTACTTCTACAAGACTGGCAGGATTCCAATCCTGTACTCACCCTGGATGGTGAGCAGATAGACGTAGTCGAGAAGTTCGTGTATCTGGGTAGCTGCATAAGTGCTGGTGGGGGTGTGAGTGATGAGATCAATGCACGTATAGTGAAAGCCAGAGCGGCTTATGCCAATCTGGGCCATCTATGGCGCCTTCGTGATGTTAGTCTGGCCGTGAAAAGGTCGGATCTACAACGCGTCGGTGAGAGCAGTGTTGCCCTATGCTTGTGAAACCTGGCCTCTTCGAGTTGAGGACGTTAGACGACTCTCTGTGTTCGATCATCGCTGTCTCCGAAGGATTGCTGACATTCAGTGGCAACACCATGTTAGTAATGCAGAGGTTCGGCATCGTGTGTTCGGGCACAGAGATGATAATTCAATTGGTGTCACCATCTTGAAACACCGACTTCGGTAGCTTGGACATGTTCTACGAATGTCGTCCCAGAGGATTCCACGTCGTGCATTATTTGCCGACTCTGGGACTGGTTGGAAGAAGCGGAGAGGTGGTCAGTGCATGACATGGTGTCGTGGCATGAAAGAAAGCTGCAAAGGACTGGCTTGTGTTGGTCCTTCACGACTCCCTGGTTGGGGTCTGAGAGATGGTACTACACAGTGGCTAGAGACGTTATCAGATATGGCTCAGAATAGAAGCCAGTGGCGATCCTGCTGTAACCTTCTTCTACTTTCTTCATAAAAAGTGGTTCTGTCTCCCTTACCTGAAAGATTTCTTCCGATTGTACCTTTGCGTTCCCTGATTACTAGCACATTACCTTACACCAATCTCTTCGTTATTGTTCTCTCTTTTTTGGTGTTGTTGCGCTCCTTAGCTTTCTTTTCTTTCTTTGTATTCCTCTCGAATTTTCATTGTTTTGTGTGGCGCATATATATTGGCGCTCTCTTGTACCAATATTCATGTGTCCAAATAAATAAATAAATAATAAATAAAATTGCTTTGGATTTCATGAATCCGTTCAAATTATCTATTTATTTGATCACAAATATTGATACAAAACGGCACCGAATACATATGCGCCATATAATTCCCTTGGTTTGTGTGTGGGCTGTCATACTTTTCGGGTGCCCATACCGAAGCGTGTGGTTCTTTTCGGGGGGGGGGGACACTACAAGCCTTCAACTTAGAGGTCTGATTAATAAAGCAGTGAAGCGACGTAAGGAGATGCCGTCCCATGCTAGCCTGTGAACATCGACTGGTTCATACGCCATTTGTTTCTTCAGGATCCTGGAACCCAGGTGCACCATTGGTTTTGAACCAAGGTTTTCCGACTCCCCCAGTTGAACCTTCCATATCCACCAACCCAGTCCAATCGCCGGACATCCCTTTTTCGTCCTCTCAATTTTGTAAACAACCCCCTGGTGCGAGAAGCCATTGGGTAGGACTTCCCTGTTAATGGCCGTATGCGCGTGGCCATGTGAAAGCATTTCGAGAGGGAGAACTGACTCTCCTTACCCTCTGCCTTACCAGGGCATTCGGAGTTTTTAAAATCGATTCAGAATATCATTCTACGTTAACATAATTATTTTATTAATGCTTTGTAGGTAAATCTAATCATTAAGGAGAATCGTTTGCTTTTATGGATGTATAACACAGTTACAAAGTTTCTGTCTCACTGAAAGTGTAGGACAGAGATGGCCAACTGAATACTTTCAAAGCATTTTTAATAAGGCTTCCCAGTTTTATATTGAATCAAACTACTATTAAGTTCAAAGTTAGGTACCGTGTTTCAGATGAAAAATAGCCGGTCTGCTAGTCTACTTGCATCATTTAGAATGGTGATTGTCTGTATTTTCTATTATCTTCACCTTCCATTTATCTTATATAGTAGAGCAAATGGATAAGTCTATTGATAAGGATATTTGGTGACATCTTAAATTTTTTGTAAATGTATCGGAGCCATGAAAAGATTCTCCGGAATAAATCCTTTGAGGTTATAGTTTTTATTCCTTTTGTTTCGGTCTTTCTTTCTGAACTATATTCGCAAGGTTCAGTTTTCGTCCACTAGGTGGATTCTCCATATTCACCAACCCGGTTAAAGCGCCGAGCATTCGCCTTTTTTGCTTTCACTTTCGTAAACAATACCCCCGCCGCGAGGTGTCAGTGAGTAGGACTTCCCTGTGAGTGGCTGTATACGTGCGACCATGTTAGGGCAGACTCCCCTACCCTCAACCGTACCAGGGTATTTCTATTCGGAGTTTATAAATTCATCCTCCAAAGTACCCGGGAAGATATAGACTGTTTGATGTTTTATAATGTTCTCACATCTTTATCATGTTAATAGTCATTATTATTCCAAGTTTGTTATGGTTTTATTTTTTCAGAAATCATGTATAAACTTGATCGTTTAATACCAAGTTCAATTAATTTTGTACATACGGATACAATGTATAAAGTGGAGAATTTTTACCATCTTGGTAAGGAAAATAATTCATCTTCTTGTATTGAAATGTCAAGTGAATTTATTTCGAATGAATTGAATGAACGTGATAAATGTCTTCTTAAAGAACTTGGCGAATTGGACGATAATATATCATTTCTTTTAAACATGTTTAAAAGTTATCATCCGAAAAATAAGGCCAATGTTTGTGATGCTCAAAATGCATCAAAATCTGACTTTATTTCTGAGCTTCGTCAGTTAACATATCATATTTCAAATCTTTCAAATCATTATAAAACAAATCTTGTCAAAGATGTACTACACGACAACATTTACAAAGAACTAAGTAAATTAGACTTAGAGTTAGACGATATTTTTAGTATGTTTACAAATTATTGTCATCTTCAACATATCAATTGCACAATGACAAACAGTACTCCAACACCTTCAAATAAATCTATTACTGTTCCTAAAGAACCTTTCACGCTTATTATTCAGTGTAATCCAAATAGTTCTCCATTATCGGTATTATTGTTTTGTCACATACTACTTAGTAACCAATATAAAGTAACAATTAACTCATTTGTACATTCAACAGTAAAAGAACTTCCTACATCACTTAAAAAGTTAATGGAAATCCTTTCAATTGATATGCATGGTTCTTCAAGTAATAACACATGTTACTGGCAAATTGACACAAAACTGTGTCTACATTTTATATGGAACTCAAGTTGTCCTGATATTACTGTTTCATCCCTTGATAAATCTATTACACCAACAACGTTGTATGGAGAATGTATGCTTGTACAATTGATTGGGAAAATTCTAGAACCTCACAATTTCGACCAACTCTCATCACTTATTATTACTATAGACTCAAGTTTACTATTACTCGGATTATCGATACGTAACGCTTCCCTAGATGTAAAACAAAAGTCATTAAATATTTTAAATAACCACCCATATTTTGTGAAGTTCAATCGTGAACTGCCATCAATCGTTGATTGTTATCTATTTGTTTGTATTAAGGAATTAAAACTGTCGGATGTATTGCCAGCTAATCTGAAATCATGGTTACAGTTTTGTTCTAAATGGAAAAGCTTTAATTTGTTACCACTTTAAGTTTTTCTTTGTCGCCTAAATTTGATAAGTATATTTACTGGTGTATAAAAAAATCTTATTTTGCTATGATTTTTAGGTTGAGAAAAGGCGTTCATGAGAACTACTTTCGTAACGTTATGTTTGAGTACTACCTATTAATTCAGTGGTTCCAAATGTTTGTCTTAGTTGGACTACTTACTAGTATACCTTGTTTAGATCAAATGATAATCAACATCCCAGTTTCTTATCATTGTAATTTGAATATTAAGGATCTCTGCAAAGTAAGGTACTAATTCAAGATGTTTGAGAATTTAACTAGTTATTTCACTCACCATCTTTGCCACTCTGAATTTCTTTTAGATTCTTTATCATATATGCAAACAGAATGATCTGATTAGTATGGTGTTAAATCTACCTAGTTTTCTATCATTATGGTTTTGTTTGAGTCTTATCTATACAGCAAATCATGAGATTGTGAACATAAAACGGTCTTTGTGAGAAAAATTGATGCAATTATTCAATAGCCAAATTATTTTTTGATAGTGTTCTTAAACAGACGTATCTGTTCCTCAGTATTTAAGTGTTAAATTACTCACTTTAGCGACCAGGTACAAGTTCGTACACGACACCATTGCCCTTTTATCCAGTAGAACGAGGTTGAAACCATTTAACTAACATTTAAAACTACCACACTGTAAGAGTTAATGATAATTTCCAACTGCCTAAACTATAACATAGTTCAAATTCACAACAAAGTGGTCGCAAACGGAATACTGTAACCATTAAGCTACAACTTCACCAATCAACTTTAAATGCCCAGGAGCTAAAATTTGTTGATAAAGTTACAAAATTACCATTTTACTTGTTTGATAAGTTCTTAGAACTAATCATGTTAACGAGTGAAGCCAAGTAGTATATATTCAACTGAATCACCATCTCACAGGTCCGACTCAACGTTGATATGGTTGATTGCTTAAGATCATTTTCATTTAACATAGTTTACTTGACACATTCTTGTGTACAAGTTTTCATTTGTACTGACATTGTTTGGTATGATAAAAGTTTGCTTTCTTATATATAGCTCAGTTGTTCTATCTCTGTCGTGATTTGCACAGCTTTGTTCGTAATTTCCAAACTAGTTGAAGCTTACAAGCTAACTTTCTCAAGTAATTATGATCATGGACACCTCACTAGAATTCCGCAAGCTTCTTAGGTTTCAGAATTAAATCTAGGATGGTATAAGTGCTGCGTGCCATTAGGCTACCTTAAGTTAGCCGCCCTCCTGACTGACAGTAGGTGTTGTTGGATTATGTCTTTAGCAAAGTGTCAGAATTTTAGACACGTTGAGTTTTAAGCAACGTGAAACCACATTACAGGACCTCTTGTACTGATTTCCTTCAAGTATCGAATATTGATGTTACTCCTAAAGTAGTTGTTTAGTGTGAATTCATTTTTAAACGGTTGTTAGGCTGATATATTTCCTGTGAATAAAAGTCGCTTTTATTACAGTCAGAAATCCCCAATTCACATGCTCCTTTTAGTTATACAAGTGAAGGAATAAATCATCATTCATTTACTTTTATAAGTTAATGCATGCAATCATTCTAAGAAAGTACATACACATGAAGAATCGTACTGTAATGTATTTTTCTGCATATCAACTTCTTTAAAATAATTTGAGGTACAATTGCACTAGATTAAACAAATCAGAAAAGGGCCAAATGTCGAAGAAATACCATGACACACTATAAACTATCAAACTAAATTGAAATTATGATTTAAAGAAAAGATCGTTGGGGAATTCAAGATGCCAGAGACATCAGAAAATAAGAATTGAGTATCTTTTGCAAAGTGAATTAGATTATTACACGTAATCCTATCATAATAAAAGTATTTCGATACTAATTAAATTCAACAATCAATAAAATCAAGAGGGAATTGATTGTATAAAATAAATAACAGTATCTACAGGTGAGAGGATATTACAAAATAGTAGGATATCATTAAAAATTAAACAAGCAGTAGTGTCATTATGAATTTTCCAATCCACTAGATGAAACATGATTGAGAAATGTAAAATGAGAAGAGTCTATACTTGATTGTATAAAGGGCAGAAATTATTGACTAGGCAAAGCCGTTTACTACCAATGTCAATAGGTGAATACACCAGTGTGTAGTGTACAAAAGTGTGCATAAGACAGAGTGAAATGAAGGATAAGAAACTCAGTAGGGACATGATTTATGTGTATTTACGTAATATGGGGAGTAAAACAAGAAAGAAGGATGCATGTGTATACGATTGCAAAACAAATATGAATATTATTGAACATTGCAATTGATTGGTAAAGGCTTATCTGGGTTTAAACATTTATTACACGTAAGTAATTCAGATACGGCACGTACCATATAGGACATTGTACCGAATTTTCCGGCAGGTGGTGTGTCATAGAAACGCTGACAAATATTATGTAATCCGTTGCACGTTAAAGTGCTTTGTCTACGTGCTTGGTTATTATTACTAGGCGTTGAGTCAGTGACTCCAGATTGCTTCATTGGTTTTGCACAACACACTGTGGCGTTTCCGCCATACTTTATCTAAGAAAAAAAGATGTAAACATTACGAAGCTTGTCAACTACTCTATCACTTACCATTATCAGTACACAATTGATTGCTTTCACGAGCAAGTATTTACCGAACTGAGTCATTTCCTCAATCAGTAGGATATAAGTGGTTGTGGAAGATAACGACTAATGTTACCCACTACATCATCATTGGTGTTGGATGGTGGTTAGTTTTGCAACTCTTTAGCATAACAATAAAACAGCTAAATTGCTTTGTGAGTAACAGGTTTCTCGTTACGATTTTAATAAAGACAAATTGTTGAAAAGGATTCTTAGAATAATGACAGAATTTATCAGCTGTGGCTGTACGAGTATGGACAAATACTGATTACTAACTATCTTACTTCCATAATCGCTTAACGTACGACGAGACGGTGGATCCTACCAGAGAGTATTCGTATTCTAGAGCTAAATACACTGCTTGAACAGGTGCATATAACAATGACCTTTAGGTTAAAAATATTTAGATTCAAATAATACTGTTCACATTCAAATTATTCTTAGGAACATTATGATCTAGAACAAACTACCACAATTTGTGTAATCAAAATGTTATGAGAACTTGAAGTTCAAACCAGCAATTTCGCAAATAAATGTAGTGGTATGGTAGCCAGAAATCGATTGATACACAATTGTATACTACTACTACTACAACTACTGCACATAGTTACTTAGTCGAACTGTTTAAATTTTGGCTTATTATCAGCATCATTCAACGTAAGGTAAGAATACCATTTAAGGTTTAACGATTGAGATGGTGATTTGGTTTCCGTATAGTCTAATAAAGGGTGTCTTGTTAACTGTTTAACGATTTCTGTTTCTTCCAACAACCGATGTTGAACTAATTGAGTTACAGTTTCGAACAGAGTTTAATTAAACTTTATAATCAAACAAAGCAATCACTTACTTGATCAATTAAAAATAAATTATTTGCTTTCTCCACAATATCTTCAACTTTAACGATACAATCAATAAATATTCGATTGTCAACATCATGCATCATCAATGAACCAAGTACGTGAATTGCTTCAATAATTAATTGACGATATTCTGGTGTACTAACCATTGTGCATACATGTTCAACAGTTAAAGCAAATTTATGTTCATCCATTGTCATCTAGATTAAGTAAAGGCGGGGGAAGATGGTAGAGGATACAAATATTATTTTAAAAAATAAAGGAAATATAAATCTTTTCTTATAAAATCAGCATTGATAACAGGATTTTTAACATTAAATTCCAAATAGATAATATGGTGTCAAAATACTGAAGGAGAAATTATTAATCTTCAAAACAAGGAATACTCAGAGTACCTTAAAATGATTCCATAAGGAAAAAAACTAGTGATGTCGAAAGATGTTTCATCGGTAAAAGTTTTAAAAGACTTTGGTTATCACTGATTTCTAATCCTAGGTTATCCATGGAATAGTGAAGAAAGTTACAATTTCCAACTATCAGGTTACAAACTTGAGTCTCAATCTACTTCGATTTAAGCAGTCACGTAGTATCACTAAACCGCATACAAGAAGCATGGCTGGTTTATTACGTACTTAACTGTACTCAATGTTTGGCTATAATGTTTACGTCAGATACAGTTTTATATTACATAGAGAACATAAACTGGGGTAGATGGGATAGGGCATGAACATTTGACCTACTTGGTCAAAAGCTGAATGGTTTAATCACTAATCCAAACTAATGCATGAAATTATATTTGATTATTAAGTTGTTTTTGAGCATTGGTAAGTCACAGACTAATGATATGAACGAATGCCCAGACTAAGGAGTTATCACTCTAATCTGATCTGAGTCACGTAGGAAAATGTTGTCTAAATCAAAACCTATACCTCGTTTTTATCGAATGATCAAATTAAGCTAATAAATATCACATATAACAAGCAGTTTTGAAAATGAAGAATATGGAAAAGATTCTTTTGCAGAATATATTGTTTTATGAAAATGTTAGAACGTAAAAAAAACAAGGACTTGACAAATTACAAAGTTAAAAAATGATTTATTTAGTAGTATACACGACATTTAGCTAAACGATAAATTGAGCCAACCAGACATTAGCCAAATCATAACGGGCGAAAGCTATTGGACTTCATGAGTAAGAGAGTACTTGTAGTCTTGAGGGAACAGATGATCCCTGTAGTCACTGCTCAGTTATTAACTAATTGTAAATATCCCTGTCCTACAGAGCAGTAATAGAATGAATAGCTCAATGATAAATGCTCAGATTGTGAAAGTGGTTGATAGGGGTCAGGATCAACCAGAGAGTGTCAGCTATCTGATGACTGAAGGTACACCTTGCTGAGGACGAGTGTCAACCAGGACAAAACCTAGGTGAATACAGGGTATCTTGGTTAGCTATCTCCAACTACCTAACATCCCAAACAAAGTGATTAAAGTGCAACTAAGATATACAAATAATTGTATCTTTTTAATTATTTCAGAAAGTGAAAAAAACTTACTTCTTTTGTCAAATTATGACTAAGTATTAGACTGCCAATGCTTAAACCTTGCATATGAGTTAATGTGACATACACTCGTTTATAGAATCCAGGTGGGACACGATTCAATGCACCATCAATTTTACGTCGACGACTCCAAAGGCTTCGTAAATCAGTTTGACAATTTTCATTTTCTGCCTCAGTTGTAACACTAGCGACTATAGACTGTTTACGTGATGCAATCAATTGACGACTTGCAGTGGATCTTTTCTTTACAGAACCAGAAATAGTATCTAACGTAACCTGTAAGTTATCTTGATTTGTAAGAGTTGTATTTATAAGTTTAATTGGTTGCTGTATAAAAGTAAGTAGGATATAAAAATATTACAACTTTAACTATTATCGAACAGGATGCAATTACAGTAAAAAAAAACGAATTGAATGTTACAACTTAATGTAAATTCTTTGAAATACTATGTAAAAACGAATAAGGACTTCCCACTATATACTCAAAAGTTATTGCAGTTGAAACTTTGAGAGAGAAAAAGACACAACTATTATTGATTTAACTGTATACCATTAAAAACTTAGTGACAGAAATAATAAAATCAAGAAACCAGTTATCGGAACATTCCAAATATATCAGTCAAACAATAAGATGAAGGCTGGAGAGCAAATCGAAAGACAAAAACTGATGAATATTTTTTAAAAATTGTGTTATGAACTGATATTGGATAATATCACGCCATAGCATAAGTTACAATTAGGTCATTAGGTCAAGATACTATTGTCCATAGTTTCAAATTTAATCAATTCACGATTCAGTATTCCACACTAACATGTCACACTTTCAAACATACCGAACTTGATATATCATGAACTGTTTACTAGAACGCATCTGCCAGTTAATGAGCATACAAAGTAACTGCTTAGTTGGTTAATTGTGAAGATAAGCAGATTTTTGGAACAGAACATATTATTATGATTAATGAATAAAATATAGAATTTTCCAAGTTACTAGTAAATTTGAAAGTAATATCGTAAGTTATTTGAGCACACGATAAAAAGTCTAAATAATCGAATGGGATTAAATTGCTTGGTTTCCTTAATGTCCTTGAAGAGTTGATGGTAAATTCACTATTAAAATCCCTGTCTATTTATGGGCTTATCAGGAAAACTATAACAATGTTTCGCTGACATCATATACAATGTGAATAAGAATACAGAAAATTATTAAATTGAAAATCGAGGAATATTGATAGTCTGTAAAATCAAGTAGGACAAAGATAACTTTTTCGATCACATACACATAAATCCTTGAGAAAATACTGTACTGTAGAAAAATGCTTGGGAAAATAACTCAAAAGAAAACATCAAACGCTAATGGATAAATTGAAAAAACAAGCATGGTCTCTATATGTTTTAATTTGGGAAATTACAGACACCCGTGAAGAAGACAATAAAATAAACACGTTAATACTATGAATCTACTCAAACGTTCAATTATTTATTAAGCATTAAAAAGAACATATGAAACACAAGACAACTGTCAACCAACATCAAAGTTAGAATCTTCAATACGAACTTCAAGACAGTTCTACTGTATGGAGCTGAAACGTGAAGAACAACCATAATAATCATCAAAAATGTATAAGTATATATAAACAATTGTTTACGCAAGATAATTAATGTCTGTTGGCCACATACAATCAGCAACAACCTAATGTTGGAGAGGACAAACCAGTTTCCATCTGAAGAGGAAATTAGGAAAAGACGTTGGAAGTGAATAGGGCATACTAAAAACGATGACAGACCGGATAGTTTGCATTGATAGTGTCTGTAAGTACGATGTGAATAGAAACCTCCTATTCTCTACAAGATTCCAGACATAATGTGTTGCTGACAATCAACAGTTAGAACATAAGCTCAGTCTAGAATTTCATGCCCATTGCATCAATCAAACTAAAAGTAGAGCAGTAAAAAATCAACATTTTGTAATCTTTATGCAATCCCATGAGGAAATTGCTTTCTTCCTTTAAAAAATTAATATCTATCAATTTTGCAAGTTTGATTCTCATTCAATTTTAAGGTAAATAAACAACAATAATACAAAATCTTTGAAAGTATATTCATCAAGCAAAGAGTATACATATTGCTAAAATATTTTAACATGTCAGTTAGTTCTAAACAACGTAGAACATTTGAAATGTGTCCATCAGGTCTATTTAACATGACATCAGTACAGAGAGATCAAAATATCCACAAGATTCCCAAATTAGTTGAACAATTAACAATGTAAGTGGTAATTTATGTGCTTAAAAATATCAACGAAAATAAACAAAAGATCAAGTATTGATAATATGATTCAAGAAGAATGAAATTGCATATGAAAAAGTACAAGATAATTTTATAGTTCGAGATATAAGGGAAAACAAAGAGTAAATCTATCTCTACTATCGCGGACATTTCTGAATTATATTGCTAAATTTCTTCATAACTTTCTCCGTCTTTATTTCCCAAATTTATACTTTCTTTTCAAGTCGTATATTCGATGCCTAATCTTTTCTATTATCTCTGATACTGTTAGTACCTTTACTGTTCTGGGACTTGGCATGACAACTTCTCTCTGTCCTAATAGAGTAAAGCAACTTGAAATGATGTACATAAGTAAAGGTTCTACATTATGACTAAGATCACCAAACATCTGAAATCAGAGACTGTATTAACAGTGCAAACTCCAACTGCACCAGCCAACCTGGTTCGGATCAATAGTCGATGGCTAAAACTGATGATAAAAAAGAATTGGACAATCGGAAAAGCAGGACTACGAAAGTTTGATACCGACTTTCTTCGACATGTTAACAGTTTAGGCTAGTTCAACATAGCTCTCAGCAACAAGTTTCAAGTCTCACAAGACCTCAAAGACCTACTAGAAGAGGAAACTCCCATGGAGATCAAATAGAAAAGGATTAACCAAGCAATAACTTCATTATCCCATGTGCTGAACACAACAAACACCAGAATAAGAAACTAATCTCTATAGATACTCTGGATAAGATTCAAGAACAGAAAGGTAGGAAAACAGCAGTCAACAATAGAGGAACAAAGGTAGAGAAGGCCAAGTTATGGTCTGAATGTATGGAAGCAAACAAGTGAGTAAAGAGCATGATAACAGACAAATGGAAATATGTAGAAAACCTGGTAATCAAAGTAGGACAAGATGCAGGATAAGGAAATATGAAAGAACTATATGATACAACCAGGACGCTTACATAGAAATATAGTAGATCAGAGCAACCAGTCATAAACAAAGAAGGAGCACCAATCACTGAGGTTGAAGAGCAGTGAGACAGAGTGGGTAAGAGACTTTGAAGAACTAAATAGACCAGAATCACTAAAGCTACTGGGCATTGCAGAAAAATACACAGACTTCTCGATAAACATTATTTAACCAACAACAGAAAAAAAATCAGCAGTACTGTTAAACAAACAGAGAACGGGGAAGTAGCAGGGTCAGTTAAGGCCCCAAAGTAAAAATAGACACAACATTTGAAATTATAGGAAAAAACGGATCTAATCCGCACAAATAAACTTCCCACACTTTAAGATAACAGTATCACCTTTGACAATAAACTAAAATGAATTGTGACAGTATTATATATATACATTATAGTTCCATGAAATTTTAATGACTAAACCTGTTGTGACTCTGTCTGAACGATAAAATAACACGTTCGTATGAGCGATTCGAAATATCGTGAAAACGGTAATAAATCGTTTTTAAGTATGACAGTGAAATAAATCGTCAAGATAAGTAGGATAAAATATAATATAAATTGGTCTGCGATGTTGACAGAATAGTGAATTACGAACATGTTCTGATGAGCCGCAGTAGAGTAAATATCGTCGATTAGCGATGAGTGGATTCGAATTTAAATACGTAGAGTTCCCGTTTGTAGGATAAGAATAATCAAGTTGTGAAATGATAACTGCATTGATGGGTAATATTCATTGTTGTACTGCAATCGATAATAATCATAAAATGTGAAGTCAGTGTACGTTGTCGTTTGCGTTATGACAAATGAATCGATTTATCGTTAAATATGTAGTAGTAGAATGACCAGAGTGGGTGATGAATGATGCAGCGTGCAGTTATACTTGTGGACGAATAGATGAGATGAACGTAATCGTTATTAATCAGTTAGTAGATTTAGAGGCATCAACAGACATAATAGGAGGCAATATCGAAATGAAAAATGTGTGGTATGATAACATAAAAATGACCTTGACTAAGTGAGTGAAATAGTGGGCGGAAAAATGACATGAAAAATTTGGAACGAACTCACTTAAAGCAGGCAAACTTTACGTTATTGAATAATAAGATATAGTCCAGTGAGTTTTGAATGTCATATCGTGGAGTGTTCATAAAATTATAATTTTTGCGGTGAGTGATATGATTACGAAAATGTCCATTATTGCACTCATTCACTTAGCCGAGGTCATTTTTATGTTATCATACCACACATTTTTCATTTCGATATTGCCTCCTATTATGTCTGTTGATGCCTCTAAATCTACTAACTGATTAGTAACGATTACGTTCATCTCACCTATTCGTCCACAAGTATAACTGCACGCTGCATCATTCATCACCCACTCTGGTCATTCTACTACTACATATTTAACGATAAATCGATTCATTTGTCATAACGCAAACGACAACGTACACTGACTTCACATTTTATGATTATTATCGATTGCAGTACAACAATGAATATTACCCATCAATGCAGTTATCATTTCACAACTTGATTATTCTTATCCTACAAACGGGAACTCTACGTATTTAAATTCGAATCCACTCATCGCTAATCGACGATATTTACTCTACTGCGGCTCATCAGAACATGTTCGTAATTCACTATTCTGTCAACATCGCAGACCAATTTATATTATATTTTATCCTACTTATCTTGACGATTTATTTCACTGTCATACTTAAAAACGATTTATTACCGTTTTCACGATATTTCGAATCGCTCATACGAACGTGTTATTTTATCGTTCAGACAGTTACAACATAAGTGCATGTTAAATTTTTTTAATGCTTATTAATTTGCTCATATTCGCATGCTAATGTTTCCATTTTTGTCCGTACCTTTACGATATTCATGTATTCTTTTACATAAGTATGACACTGTCGTATATTACACTCACTTCTGTTGTGACACTACTTTATCGGGTGTTACTTATTGTTAACGTGAACCACACACCTCTTCAATGTTATTTTCGAAAACAGACATTTTTTCAAATGTGCTATTTTCTACAAGGGGGTTATGTATTGTCGGTTATTATTTTAAACCCATATACCTTATTCTAGCTTCCGGACTGGTTAATCTATTCATTCTAGTTCAATCATATTTTGACCTTGGTAGTTATTCACTTGTCAACCTTGACTGCTTTTACATGAGCGTATGTGTGTACACTTCTTATACAATTCATCATATGTTTATAACTTAATTTTTTGTGACTATAAATATTGATTAACGCGTGGTTAAATGGAGTTGGTTCACGCGTCTTCTCCACTGCGCGTCGCGTCGCTTCACTCTTTTCTCTTCGCTTCTCCGATATTTTGTCTGAATCAAAGATTGTATGAAATATACGTATTCGAAATTCATTCTCGTATTTGACTTATTTACTTCCGTTATTGACTAACGCGATTTAAGTCGAAGATTATATACGAGGATAGGCGACATATATATTTCAATAACAATCATTCATACGATCTACTTGGAGTCAGATCCCAGGCCAACAAAAACCATTATACACGCGCCTGCTATTCCAAATTATTATCAGACAGGTTAAATAAGAATAACAGATTTATGATAAAAATAATAATTCCGGTATTGATAAGGTAAGTATAAGTGACAAGTTATTAGGCTATTTTGTGACTGCTATTGTATCAATCTTCAACAATCATTTATTTTCATATTAGTTGTCATGCAATATCTTGGCTCAATATTTTGTAAGCATTTATATTTAGTCAGTTGGTATTAGTGGTCCCATTTTTTGAAACAACATACTCAAATAAGCAAATGGTTTTTGTCATTCTACTTTTTATTCCGATATTTTATCTAACTAACTTCTCAAGAAATGATAATAGCATTTATCCACAACAAGAAGTACCTACAATCCTGGGGGAACTAATTCTTCGAATTTGAATCGGCGCCAACCAGCTCCGCAGTCTGATGAGAAGTTACTATTGAGATATTTGAAACCTGACTGACCTCCTATGCGACTGAGAAATCTATAACCGACTTACTAATAAGTAGTGAATAATGACATGTTTATCTAGTTCTTTAATGTTGATTAAGCCGCAGCGTGGATACAAGATGACTGGCTAACGCATGCAGTATGTTGATATATTAATTGGTTAGAGATAGTTAACTGGGAATATCCCTATATATAACTGACACACAAGACTGAATACTAAGGATTATATGATTACTTGAAAAATCCTATTTTTATAACAATGAAAATCTATAAAAATATAAATTTACCCCAGTAGATTTACGATGGAAAGTTTGGTCTGGAAAAACAAAAAAAGCAGGCGAACAGGTAAAAATAATAAATTTTAAGACAGATATATTATTAACAAAACTCCAACTAACTAATTAGCACTTCCTAATTCAAATACAAATGCTGTAAATACGACATTGAGGAATAAATATTTTGACCAAGTAAGATACAGTACTAATTAGGATAAATTTCGGTAAGGTATAAACATACAAGTGACATTGTAAGTGTGGATACATTGTTCGATCCATCACATTTTCAAAATCAATCAACTTTGCATTATTTATTTGTGTTTGAATCCTTACTTTACTGATATTAAGGAATGAATGCTGACCAGGCTCTTTTTAACATATGTGGATGATGAGAGGATTACTTCTATATCGCTGTTATGTTATAAGTATTTAGGCATGCGTAAACATCAACTCTGAGATGTAGCTAAATCAAGCTGACGAGTCTAGACTAGGAGAGAAAGCATATCCTGGATTCCAGTGCTAGTTACAATCCACTTTTTCTAAATAAATTGTATCATAATAGTGATATCGAGACAATCAGCACAGGATGCGTATACATCAAAAAAGACGAATCCGAATTCAGTCCTGAATAGGAACAGAGATAGCTCAAACTCTCAATAATAATGTTTTGAAATCATTCCTATCCTACTAGGGAACATTTCAACAAAGATATCTTAGTTTAGGTAGAGAGGCAAGCCTTGAAGCAACGTTTATGTGATTCACCTTCTTCGTAAGTTGTGTCAGCAATGTTAGAAAATTGATTAACTTAGTATATTACATACAGATATTCTTTAACATAAAGTACCGGTCTTTCAACTATTAATTTGTTATTTTAGTCTGTTGTTCCTTACGCTCGAAACCTGACAGTAAAAATGACACCACTGACAAGTATCTACACTTACCTTTGAATATGTGAGATTCTTCTACCAGAAGTTACAGTTTTCTACTAACAATTAGAAAAGTTCTTCGAACTATTCAACAATCAGTAGTGATTTATCTAAAATTTGGTTACATGTAAAGTTTGTTCATGCCTATCAAAATGTCGATACCTACTAGCGCGTTCAACGATAGCTTACTGCTCATTTATGGATGTGTATACCACAGATTTGATACTAGTCAAAATCCAGAGTAAACCATGTAGAAATCCGAGACAAATCAACATCATATTGATTTTAGGGACGCGACATCCTGATATCTCGTTATTATATCATAGACATCTTCATAAATCTATCAAGAACCATACCATAATAGGGTTACAATCAAAGATGGAGTGATAATACTCTTATAACCATTACTATTGGTATTAAGAAATATTAACTCATGTCCAAAATATATAATAATCTCAAATAATGAACTTCAATGACTTTAATTATCTTTTCATGAGTGAAATTACAGGTTGACCATTAATCACAATCACAATAATAATAATAATAAATAGCTTGGAAAATTTAGTGTTTATTATGATACAAGATTTTTTAATGATACTGGGATTCTTATGACTCATTAACCAAATTCAGGTTTATGTATTCGGTTGTGAAATATACAACTGATGTGAGAAATCGTGGATGCGCACTGCTGAGGAGTCCCAGACTAGGACGGAACGGTCATCCAGTGCTTCCAGGTTTTGAATAGTGATCTAGCATTCATCAATTCATGATCTAAATCAAAATCTTAACAATCTCCACAACCCAACACTGAAAATGTTACTTACTTGTCTTAACAATACGCATATCTTCACCATTGAGTAGATTATGTAGCAAACGTTTCGTATCGATTGGACGCATTGAGAATAAAGCATACAATGAATCCTCTACAGTTAAACCCAAACCACGAGCTAATTCAGCAGCCATCATTTGGATTATTAGCCCAATACGTAAGCGTAAAATATTTTCCAGTTTTTGAGGTTGTGTACGTGCAAACATTGATAAATAAATAAGAATTTCCTTTAAATAAATCGAACAAATTTATGGAGAATTAATGGATCCATAAGAGGTTGAACTGAGAAACCAAATAAGATCAATATCTCTCAGGAAAAATATCGAGTGACAGACGGAAAAAAGATGTATGACTCACTTTCAGGTCCTCGGCAAAGTTTAATAGGAAGCGTTAAAAACCACGAATGATGGAGTTTGATAGTGAACAAAGCGATCTAAAGTGATGTTAGGGGTTTTCATGGCGTCAAATATCACGTGACAAAATCACCCATCAGAATACTGACTTCTGTGACCTCATCAATGTACTAAACTAATGATCCGTCAAATAGTACTATCAGCCTTGAGTCAACTCTGAATCCTTATTGATCCTCGATATAGAAGCTTTTCACCTAGCCCACCCCGTTTAGTCCAGAACACAAATATCAGTCTCCACTATATGAATCGTATATTTCAGATATACGTGGTTTATGTACGAGCAGAAGGAACTATCGCTGAGGATGATGATTATCTAAGGGATAAACCTTACTGCTATTATACCTCAGTACAGTCATAAGTACAAATTCGCCCTAAGACCCAAAGTTACTATTTTGGAGATATTTGTCCTCCAACCAACCTACTTGGTATGCTGAGACCTAAAGGAACGAGTGTTTCCCTCGATACATCTAGACTGGGTCATTACAATAGGGAAATCTAACCATTATATCAAGATAGCAGCTACAGTTGGGATAGAAAAGTCAAAACTCAACTTAGTATGAGACCGGAATTAGATGTGGGAAATGTATGAGCACGGCTCACTATATGGAACTTGTTATGTCTTGTGGCCTGTCAATTCTCACGTGATAAGATCGCCAATCAGAAAATGACTTATACAATCTTAGTACTGTGCCAACAAATGACGTGTTGACCGATACGAGAAGCCTAGAGTCCTTATTGATCCTTCTTGCCTAGCCTTGTCTGTTGAGACCAGAACACCAGCTCAGCTTCCACCTTATGGATCATATATTTCAGACATACGCGGTTCATATACAAACAAACCAGATCACATCATACCGTAAAATAGAAAATGATAATTATACAACATCAAGCCAAAACGTGTGTGATTGTGAGAGGCTGTAACTAATAAATTGGGAATAACTTAAGAATAGTAGATCATATAAAAATTTTTGATTGAGATCATGAACCAATTGATGTTAGACCACCATTGAAAACCTAGAAACACTGGACGGTCGTTTCGTCCTATTTTGGGACTCCTCGGCAGTGCGCATCCACGATCCCGTCCGCGGTATTCGAACCCAGGGCCTTCGGGCTCGTGCGCGAATGCCTAACTTACTGGACCACTGGGTCGGCACCCGATGGTGTTAATAGGTCAGATAGAAGGTTATGGTAAAAGGAATATATATATATATATATATATATATATATATATATATATAATCTACTTATTCAACAACTATACAGTAAGAATATATGTAATAGCAGTCCATAAATAGTTCCCAGAAGTTACCCATAATTTATTCTTCTCCGGATACAACAGAACCATTCACTTCTACTTGAATATTCCTAGTTCATTTTCCCGTGATAGGCAATGAACTTAGTTTTAAGTATCCAAAGACTACACAATAATGAACCTGGGATATCTGCATTTCATGACGAATATAATCTTTGTAAATAAGAGCTTTCGTCTAAATTTGAACGAATAGTTTCACAATATTTGGGCGCCGAGTTAATGAGTCATTAAAGAGGAAGAATGTATTTGTAAAATCTCAGCGAAAGAATTTGAAGTAAATCCAACGTTTCGCCTGGCAATCTGGTCCAAGCTTTTTCAAGGAAAATATAATCAAACAACAAAATTATCGAATATCTAATATAATTTTGTTGTTTGATTATATTTTCCTTGAAAAAGCTTGGACCAGATTGCCAGGCGAAACGTTGGATTTACTTCAAATTCTTTCGCTGAGATTTTACAAATACATTCTTCCTCTTTAATAATCTTTGTAGTTATGATATATCGAGCTACTGAATGTGTTAAGACAAATGTATAATCGATTTTTCAGTTATGTAATTTAACATCAAGATGGTAGATCGATCAATATAACTACTGATCACCATATATATGTGGACAGTTTTAATATGTCAAGTCATAGATATCACTTACATAAAAATCGTGAAGAGTTGAGGCTAATTCATAGAAGATTACGATGACAAAAGACAGATAGCGTTAATAAACCTTTCGACTGATATTGAATAAATAAACTACTGGGGTTTTTTGCCTTTTTAATCCTCTTTGATAATACATCAATATCCCTTCGCCTTATTGACAGTCTTTTACTGTGTTGTCCTCACAACGATGTTTATTGAGACATTTATAAAAAATATGACGAATAGAGCGAAGTAATGAGTTTGTTATTACAATTTCACACTAATGAAAATCTGGTTTTCAGTAATAATAAAATTGACACCATTCAAGCAGCAGTGTTAAACCACAGTACTACAAATTTAAGAGTTAACATCACGGACTGATTTTAGACAACCAATGAAAGCTAGGAAGCACTGGACAGCCGCTTCGTCCTAGTACAGGACTCCTTAGTAGTATGCATTTACGACCCCACTATAAGACAACGAACTTAGGACCTTCGATCTCGCAGTGAGCATCTAAAATTTAGACCACCACTAAGCTGGTGTCTATTGGTTTACATATGTAGCTTCAACCAATTCGCGATATTGGGCATGTCTCTGGAATTAATTGAGAATGAATAATAAAATAATTATAAGACGAGATGGACAAAGCGATTATTATTCAAAGGTATTAATTATCATGAGAAAAACTGAGACAAGTGGTTATAGATCCCATGATATAATAAAAGAGAACTAGCGAGACATCAATAAACAGCTGAAGTTATGTAAGTTATGTAAGGATAAAGAGAAGAGAACGTTACAGTTATGCAACGACATAAAGTTTCGAAGAAAGACATTGGTCAATGAGAAGGTATAATAAGTCGATTGTAACCCAATCTAATGTTGGCTATTTTGATGTCTAAAGTAAGGAAAGCACTTGCACAGATTCCTTATGAACACAAAATTCAAAGTTGTTATGGCGGATGCGACATCTTTAAATTTATATGAACAATGTGGCACACTTTTGGTGGGACCTGGTGGATAATTTAAAAATTTTTGTCCACGTAACTTTTCGTATTGGTTAGAAAAGTAAGTATAAAGTTCGTAATTAACTTTGACTGAAATCTTTTTGAATCAGGTTCATAAATTCAGTGACGTGTGGGTTATGTTTATAATTCTGTAGTGTTCTCATTAATATTCATCATTTAACATGTGATGCAAGATAGAATAAAAAAGCATATTCTATGCATATATACATAATGATGAAGTTTAGAGGGAAAATTGAATGAAGTATTTATCTATTTATCAGCAACAGAAAAATCGACAGTGAAGGCTCGAAAGGTCTTGATACTTAAAAATTGGTAAACAACAGAATTCAATTAAGCGGTTAAAATCAAATCAATAACTACATAAAATCAATAAAATGTTGCAGCATTCCGTTGTGTTGCGCTAACAATGAATAACACATACAACATGCACAGATATACAATGCGTTGGATTCAGTTTTTAACATACGTCAACTCCTATATATACTGGGAAAGAACGAATAACTAACCAACCATATGTCCAGACATACATACACATAAATACTTCAACGGAATAATCAGTGATCATAATGCGTGGATGATATGTAAGGAGATAAACAGAGATTATATATATATATATATATATATATATATATATATATATATATTACAGTACAATTGTTTAAAAGGGAAGACTGTGGTATAGAAAATATGCAATTAATTGCTATATACACAATATTGACCCATTCATTGTGTTCATTTCATCAACAACATCTTAATATGGTCATTTATACGAATATTTGCCAATATTAGGACGAATAGTTTGACAAAAATTAAGCGCCGAGTATAGAAAAGTTATTATATGTGAAAATTATATCTGAAATAATCTCAGCGATTGAAATGTAAATAATGTCAACGTTTCGTCCAGCAAACTTGTCTGGACCTCTTCGGGGTAATAATATGCACCAAAACAGCTGAGAAATGATAAGACAATTATCATTACGAGAGAACATAAAGGGAACACGACAGTTAATATCAACAAATCGGACTACGAGAAAAAAGCCCGTATGAACTAATTAAAGAAACGAAAAGTAGAACGACGCTTACTACACTTAAGGCTGAAACCAGTAAAACCTTACAGTCGTTAAAGGTTAAACTGGGATCGCCATTATGGTTTATATTATATCTGAGTTGTAACCCTTGTAGATTCTACGAACTTTCAAAGACTCACAAGAATAATATTCCACTAAGACCAGTGGTTGATTTTACAAATTCACCGTATGACAAATTGATTAATTATGGAATTAGAAACTCTATGGAATTCAAGAATATTATCGATACCATCCATATAGAAGACAATGAAATGATGGCAAGTTTTGATGTATCTCTTTCTTATTTACTAATGTACCCGTCAATAGAGCGTTGGATATTATTTATGATTGTTTAGAATCTGACTCAGATTTGAATTTACGATGCCCATTAGATCCACCTGAAGTTATTAAATGCTTGAAGTTATGTTTACAATCCACCTTATTCATATTTCGAGGAAACCCTTACAAACAGAAAGAAGGTAATAACAATGGGTTCACCAGTTTCTCCGTTTGTAGCGAATTTGTTCATGCATTCCCTAGAAGCCACTGTGTGTTATCTACATACTGTATATGACATTTTTATTATCATTAAACGGGATGGCTCAGAAGAATTGTTTGAAAATGCAAACAGCATTTCGGAGAGCATTAAGCTAACAAATGAAATAGAATTCAGTGACCACAATCTAGTGTTTCTCGATTGTTTGGTTGAACGAAAACATAGTAATAATAATTTGAAAATATATGTATTTAGGAAACCAACACATTCTGAAGGATACTTAGATTATGGTTCGGCTCATGCGCTTTGTAAGAAAGTCACAGTTGTATAAAATGTAAGTCCACCGTGGTCATCCCGTACCATAATGAAACATCGAAAGAAATCAAAGGGATTCGAAACAAGTACGATATAAGAGTGTATTTTCAGGCATGTGACACCATGAGACCAGCATTAGTAAAAGCTAAGGATAGACTCTCAAAGGAAAAACAACAAAATATTGTCTATGAGATCAACTGTCATGATTGCAATGCAGCTTATGTGGGAGAAACTTTCAGACAATTTGAATGTGAGGTTGAGGGAATACAAACAGTGTTTGAAAAATCTTCCCAAATCCTCAGTTAACCTAAAGCGTTACATGTATTAGAAACAGGACACAAGATTAATTTTGAATGGACCAAAATACTTCAGAAAGGTTTTAACATTCATAAAGAAAGATTGACAGCAGAAGCGCTATATATATATGGGCGAACAGGAACAGCCTGAACCGAAAGGATGGTATTCAATTAGCGACTACTTGACAAATATTCGCTAACAAGTAATTGGACCCATTCTTTATTTCACATGTATCGTTATTTTGACTGAAATTAATGTGAGTTATTTTTTAAGCAATACAATTATGTAATTGATTATTCTCATTTTACATGTACGTCAATGATTCAAAAACATTTTTTTCAACCTTCAATTGGCACTTTTATTTTATTTTATTTATTCATATAAAACATATTACACCAAATAGCAATCATTAATAACTCAATCTTACACATATATACACACAATTCGTTCAGTCATTTATTTTCATATTGTGAACTTTTCACATGATTCGCATTTAACCGACTCATGTTATCCTGTTGACTAATGACAGCATCGAAACATGATAGATTAGCACAATATATATTTGATTTGCCTGTTAAACCCAATATATTTTTTAGATGATCTTGATCTCGATTATTACCCTGAAGAAGTCCAGATAAGTTTGCTGGAAGAAACGTTATTTCAAATATAATTTTTAATATGGTCAGTTAGTCGCAACATAGAACCTGGTACGTATGTACATCGGTTCAAGTACCCATACTCCATAAGTACAAATAAAATTGTCAAGAGAAATTCCAAGATGGTTAGAGGTAGTAACAGTATCAGTGGTAATAGAAAAGATTAGATATCGAAGATAGAACTGGAGAAGAAAATATAAATAAGTAGAATAAAAACAAAAAGAATTATGAAGAATTCAGAGGCTTAGAATCTGAGTGAAGGTAAAAAAATGGATGCACTTGCGTCATTGCAAACGATTAATTTCTAACAATGTATATTAGGAAAATATCCATCAATAGAATAAAAAATAAGGATTTCAGGTCTAGAGGTAGTAATTTAATAGTTAACGAGTACTTGACTACTAACAACTAAGCATAATAGGTTCATAATTTGTTCTGCCTTCGTTTATTTGATTAGCTAAATAACTGTTGAGGCGATTTTATTCGTCAACTGTGTCAAGTCATAGCAAATCTAATCAAGTTTTTATCTTAGCAACAAACTGTTAATTTTTAAATGTAAATATTTTTAGCTTCACCAATAAAGTGGATATAATTAATAAATGAGTGAAAACAACAGTGATTTTCTTACTTGCGTAAGTATTGTCATTAAACTGTCTTCACCACACGCTTCTTGTATCAAATCGCATAATTGATCGGGTGATAGCGGTGCATCAATAACTTTTTCACGTGGTTCTGGTGGTAAACCAACAGTTACTTGCTTCTGTAAGACTAATATATCAGCTAACGATTTAGCCAAACTATCAGCACGTTTACCTAACAGACCAGCTGTGTAACGTAGTAGGAACCATGATGTTGTTTGCGTAGCTCGTTCATAGACCTAATAAAATAGAAAAAAAAAGAGAAAGACAGCAAAAATCAGTCCATTATTTGGTATGATCAGATGAGTTTAAAAACGCTTTTCTACATAGTAAACACGTCCATGCTTAGGAAGTGACATGTATGAGCGCTGGTTCAATAATTATGGAACTCGATTTGAAATCATTATAGTTTGTTGGTCCCGATTCAACTACACTTGCTTTGGTCCAAACACCTGAGCCAATTACATAAACATGTACTTGCTTGCGAGTTGCAGTACTTAAAGTTTAATTAGAAACTGATATGGCAGCTAAAGTGATTGACTTATAACTACCAGAAAAGATATATAAACCCTGCTTCAAGTCTTTCGTTTCAGGAAACTCAGTAATTGAAAATTAAGTAGACATACACATAGTCAGTTACATGAGTTAGTTATATTCTAGTTAAAATGGCAAAAGAAGATACTAAAGTTTTAGTGGAAGCTACTCACAAGAATGTTTGTAAGAAGTGTGTAGCGGAACGTGGAGTCGAAGCTGCAACTAATATCAGATGGAGTGAAGGGTTTCAGTGGATCAGAAGTACGGCGTTGGCAGAAAACTTGGAGACTGGAAGAGAAGACAGTTCAGATGGCAAAACACACTGAAAGATACGAATGGATGATTGAAGGCTATGTATATGTATTATGTGAATACTTGGAACCTTCACCTCTCCTGCCTACTGTCTTGCATAACATAATGACTGCATTAGTTAAGTGGTGTGATACCTTGTATATTGCTCAGAAAGAAAACAAAAATTTCCAAAAACATATATTATGGTTGTGCATAACACAATACAAGACATACTTTCTATTCATCATTATAAAGACTCATATTGATAATATAGTAAAGTGTAACTTAGTAACTACACAGTAGTTCATAAAACATTAATTTTTAAGGACTGAGTTAAACAAAGTCTAAGTCAATATGCAAAACAACTTGTTTTATGCTATCAAACGGGCCCGACCGTTGTTGCTACCTTGACGTGGTGGTCGGGCTTGCCTATCGTAATGAAGCGACCGAGCTATACTGGCTGGAACAACCGTTCCTCAAGGTCCTACCATGTCAGACAGGTCGGTTGAAGAGCGGTAAGACTAAAAGCAACAAACCCAAGGTCCGAAGGCGAAGTCGTACTGCTGACTGTACAGAGGTGTGACAGCAGTAAGGTGTTTCCTTCAGACAACCAGCATGACAGCGATGCTGCCTTCCCACCAGGAGGGGTGGGGTTAGAAAAGGTCGACCCTAAAAATGCGCACTTTGCCTTATCCGACGGATATCCGTCTCCGACGGTGAGGTCTCAAAAAGTACGGAGCTAACACAAAAATTGCCCACAAAAAGATCGTGTGTGACCGACCTCAAGCAGTTGTCCATTGGGCACTGCGGTCAAGCTCCTAGGTCACTAAGACCACCTCTAGTCGAATTTCCTTTTCAGGTACCTCCAGAAGAACCCTTCCACGGTGTGGGCAACCGGGAAGTGATAACCGCCCTCATACCTCTAACAGCACCCAAGACCACTGTATTCATAATCAACCTCCCTCTTCAATTCCTCCTACATCGACTTTCGCCTCTAAACTTCCTTTTTCGGCTTCCCCCTCAAGTGTCACCATAGCTAACGATTCTAGTGCTCAAAACACTATCCCAGGTCTACTGAAACCTCGCTACAAACCACACAATGGAGCCATCAACATACGCACACTATGTCAAGTCGGTTGACAGGCTTCCTTGGCTAGAACCCTAGAATCTCGTACCATTGATTTATGTTGTGTCTCTGAAAAACGCATACAGGATCCCAGTGTGGTCATTCACTTGACCTCACCTCGGCAAAACGGAGAGCCAACAAGATACACCCTCCGTGTATCTGGTGACCCGACGGCCAGCTCTCGTGGACTGGCAGGAGTAGGCATAGCACTAAGCATGAGGGCGGAACAAGCACTGTTAGAGTGGATCCCCGTCAACAGTCGTCTATGTGCTGTTCGGCAAAAAAGCCCCGTAAGAACTCGGAAGGATAGGGACACACGTCGTTGCCTTTTTGTCGTTTCTGCCTACGCTCCCACCGACTGCAGCTCAGATGAATTTTACAGAAAGCTATATGAACTTCTTCAGAAAGCTAAACGTTCAGACATAGCACTCGTAGCAGATAGGTAGTTTAAACCAAACAGAAAGGCATTTAGGTGGGTATTTTAGTATTCCGGCACAACGAACAGATAATGGTGATCGTCTGCTGCAACTGTGCTCAGACAATCGCTTATTTTTAGCAAACACAAATTTTAAGCATAAGGAGAGACACTGTCTAACATGGCGACCCCATACACCAAACCAACGATGGACTCAAATAGACCATATTGCCATCAGTCATCGTTAGAGACGGTCGGTAGAAGGTTGTCGCTCATTCTGGAGTACCTGCTTGACTCCGACCACGCATCTGCTTGCGCCTCAATGGACGCAAAAACGCCATAGTAAAAAGACCCATTAGAACTAAACTGAGCAGCGACAAAACCAAAAGTAGGTTCCAGGAACAACTGAGGTCACAATTAGGTAGTTCTAAAAACGAGGCTGACCCAGATGTTGCTTGGAAAGCTATACAAACAGCTGTAGGAACAGCAGTGACATCTATTAGGGATTTAAACCACATGGTTACAAAGAACCAATGGATTTCCTCAAGGTCTATTGCACTGATGGATTCTCGTATACTCATCCTATCAAGCTCTGAACACGATGAAGAGCAAAAACAAATCAGATCTAGGTTAAGCAAAAGTCTATGGAACGACCGTGAGCAGTGGTGGGCAACGAAAGCAAAAGAGATGGAAAAGGCGGCGGCTATAGGGAACACAAGACAGCTCTACAGACTAATAAAAGAAACTGGGATTAATAGGTCAAGTGTAAGTCAGACTATTTCGGAAAAAGATGACACCCTCATCTGCTCTCAGTCCAGACGTTTAGAACGATGGGCGGAACATTTCAGGGAACAGTTCGGCTGACCTTCAGCGACTCTACAACTACCCTCCATTCCCAGACAGTGTGAATGGGACATTGAAGTAGGTCCCCCCAACTCCAGCAGAAGTTCAAAAGGCTATAGTTATTCTGAAACGAGGAAGGGCAGTTGGTCCAGATCGATTGGCTCCGGAGGTCTTTAAGGATGGTGGTCCAATTTTAGCGGTTAGGTTGACTAATATTTTAGCTAAGATCTGGGAGTTAGACGTTATTCCATCTGACTGGTCACAATCACTTATCGTCCAAATATATAAGAGAGGGTCAAAATCATCCTGCGACAACCATAGAGGGATTAGTTTAACTAATATAGTATCTACAATACTAGCCTCGATAATTATCAGACGCCTAACTAAGACTCGTGAACTGCAAACACGAGAGAATCAAGCTGGCGTCAGACCTGGTTGTGGCTGCATCGACCACATATTCACCATTCGTCAGGTTCTAGAACACAGGCATACTTATCGGCGTCCGACAATGGTAGTCTCTCTTGACTTGAAAGCAGCATTTGACTCGGCAGACCGCGAGATTCTGTGGCAGTGTCTGTCATTGATAGGCGTACCTCAGAAGTATATAAACCTTGTGAAGGCTCTTTACTCGAACACTACCAGTCGATTCAGAGCTTATGGCGAACTGTCATCTGCTTTTGTAACCTCAAGTGGTGTCCATCAAGGCTGTCCACTTTCCCCATTTTTGTTTAACTTCATCATAGACCTATTGATGGAAATAACATTCTCGTCTACTGAATTCCTAGGCAATGATCTCCTTCCAGGAGATTCACTTATCGACTTAGAATACGCAGATGATATAGTCCTGTTTGGTGAAGACGCTGATAAAATGCAAAGTCTTTTGGTAGCACTGAGCAACAATGCCAGAATGTTTGGAATGCGCTTCTCTCCCTCTAAATGCAAGCTGCTGCTTCAGGACTGGTCTGCGTCAACACCTTAACCAAGGATAGGGAGTGAAGTAGTTGAACGCGTTGACAACTTCACTTATTTTGGAAGTCTGATCAGCCCTAATGGGTTGGTGTCTGACGAAATCTCAGCACGGATTCGAAAAGCTCGTTTGGCATTTGCCAACTTACGTCACCTATGGCGAAGGCGGGATATCCGTCTATCAATAAAAGGACGAGTATACTGCACAGCAGTCCGTTCTGTTCTACTTTACGGCAGCGAAACATGGCCATTAAGAGTAGAAGACACTCGTAAGCTATTACTATTTGACCACAGATGCCTTAGAAATATTGCTGGCGTCTGTTGGGATCACCGGGTAAGTAATAGTGAGGTTAGACGCAGGATATTAGGGAATGATGGTAAATCAGTTGATGAGGTTGTGAGTCTTCATCGACTGAGATGGTTGGGCCACGTGTTACGTATGCCTGGACACCGATTACCACGACGTGCAATGCTAACCGATGTTCGGGATGGTTGGAAGAAAGTTAGGGGCGGTTAAACCAAAACGTGGCATCAGTGCTTGAAGTCACTAACTTCTAGTCTGAGCCGTGTTGGTAGATGCAGACTACTTGGGTGGGGTCCGCGTGACTATCGTAACCAATTGTTGGAGACTCTTGGTGACATGGCTCAGAATCGATCACAATGGCGTAGGTGTGTACACTCTCTGTCTTCCCTTAAACTAAGAGATTAAAATCGCTTCATATCTTTCTTTCTACGAACTAATTCTTTCTTCCTGTACTATATCCTTATTGTAATCTTTCTTTTATATATTACCACCTCTGAATTAACTACTTTTATGAATCCGGTGTCCATCTTGTTGTGTTAATGAGGTATGGCAACTTGGACCGATGCATATATGTGCCTGGTCCTACGTTGTAGCTGACTGACTGATCAAACGGATAGACTTTTGTGCTTAGAAATGGCTACAACACACCTTTCAATACGAAGAAAATTAGTCCGAATTACATGTTACACAGGCGATTATGTAGTGATTTAGAGAATCGCCTCAATATTCACAAATTACTATCAGCCAAAAAATAACAAATAACAGATTAAGCTAATCAAAACAAGAAGGAATTCCCAGATTAGTGCCATTAATCGCATAGCCTTGGTTGAAGTTAGACATGTAAACCATTGAATGCCGGCTCAGTTTTAAAGTAAAAACAGCTCATCACCAGACCAGAATTCTCTCGGTTGGATGCATCGGGTTAGGGTGCACTACTACATACATTCACTAAGATAAGTTCAAACCAATCATAACAAGATAAAAGAAACTGTCCTTAAAGAATAATGAAAGTTTATCGGTCAATCATAAGCAACGTAGGGTCTGGGTGCATATGTCCATGAAATCATCAAGATGTAAACAATAGGATTCAAGAGGAAAAGCTAAATTTGGGAACTAAAAAGGTTTAAAAGAATTTAAAGAACTCAATACCCAAAGGAAAACAAAAACTCAATGCACCGGAGCCATCGCGATGGATTTTGAGTCATGAAAGTTTCTAAATGATTTAAGTTGTATTTCTCAGCAGCCAACGAGAACGTTTACTGATTAATTCAGTAAATCTACATACAACTTACTGTACTGAGTGAGCTAACAGTAAGTAATAATGATATATGATATCCAAATGTTAAAGTAGATAAAACCAGATTTGAACATGTAACTTAAGGGAAGATAGAAACATTTTGCAAAGATTTTAGAAACAGGTATAATCTCTTAAATTTTTACATGAAACAGAATTTGATGATAAAATAGATTTCCGTAAACAAAATATAATGTATACATGAGCAAACTTTTGCACAAAAATCTATGAGTAGTATAAGTTTATCAACCATAAAAGCACGTTTCAGCTGTTGAAAAAAAAGTGCTGATATTGAGGTGGATGAAATAGTTTGTGATAAACTTTATATTCTATCAGATTCACACTAAAACAATAATTCCTTCTAGTAAATTCATAAAAATTTGGCGCAACCGGGCAGTACCAATAACATTCACAGCACGAATAATGTTTATAAGTGGAGTACAATGATTTCCAAACATATGATACCGTGCAACAACGTCAGGATATGAAGTCCTGTGGTAGCCGATGACCAAAATGGATTAGTATGTTATTTGTTCTCTAAGGATCATGGAGCCTATGTACATCATTGGTTTGGAATCAGAGTCTTCCTATTCCCTCTAGGAGGATCCTTCATATCCACCAACCAGACATTGGTTTCCTGTCTTTTAGTTCCCATACACAGCACACCTGACAAATGAAGGGAGTGAGTAGGACTACCCTGGAAGGTATACCAGAAGAATATCTGAGTTTCTAAGTGTCGTTTTGGTTAACACATAACTGTAGTAAAAATCCTAATTTGAAGAGGTCAAAAGAATTGAGTGTAGAATAATGATCATTTCAAAGAAATCAAACAAATATTCATACACACTAACCAATGAATTTTGAGCAAGAAAATTGCACGGTAAGCTAATTGTTGTTCAACAAGTATTGAAATTATATCACACAAATCCCACACATGTTTGTATAAAGACATCAAATTATAATCAATATTAATCAGGTGTACAGTTGAACAGTGAGTTGTGAAACCAATATACTACTCCAGTAAAGAATTCTAGATGTTACAACTCATACACCAAAATTTACGCAACATAATCATTTCAATTAATGTATTATAAAATCATCATATTCATTATAGGAAAAAAGTAAAGTCAGTTTATTCAAAGAAAAAATCATGAACTAATGTAAAGGTTAATTAGACCTATTAATAAGGGAGGTAGCATATTTTCTGAAGTATTTCTCTCAATTGACACAAAAAATGATATAACCGACAGTTTGAATAACATTCAATGCTGTTAGTAAAGTTGTATATTTCAGACAAACTATTTGCTTGAAAGAATAGTAGTATACACTATTTAAGCTTTGTCTTCATACTATGCTGAATGAAAATCGAGTAAATCGGTAAGAGCTTAAGTTTAATTTAGTATAATACAAAAAGATAGTAAATATAAGACGAAATAAAACAGTTGCACAGTTTCGTTGTCATGGATACAAACCTCTTTTAGTAATGAACGAACAGTAGCTGGTTGTGTTGGGTCTATTCCAGTATTCCAGTCTAAACCACATAATTGATGTAATCTTCCAAGTATTTCAACTTGTTCAGCTAAATTATCAGTACATCTTAATCGTTTAACTAATTGATCCGGTGATAAGGAATTTAACCAATCTGTGGAATCCAGCCCACATGTACTCGATCTTCCCTCAGATGTACGACGACTATGTGTACCAGAATAATTTGGACTGTTCGTAAGATTGATTTGGTCTGAACTGACTAAATGGGATGGGGAACGTTGCGATTGTTGACCTCCACAAGTATTTGAATCTGTAGTTTGACAAGTAATATTTGGATCGACTTTTTGATGTTCATGAGATCGAGAAGTAGAAGATTGTTCATGTTGACATGTTACTGTAGATGAAGTGTTACTTTCCGGATTGATAATGCGTTTTAATGCTAAACGTGACGCTTTGGATGTTAAATCTTCATTTTGTGTTTGGAGTAGACGATAATTTGTAAGATCTGTGTAAGTAGATAACATAGTAAAAATATATTAAAATAATATGATGAAAACAAAATAAAAAATAATAAAGTGACAAAGCAATGTATTGATTCAAGATGTTATACGTTAAAATAAAGCAATAATGAGATTGAAAAGCTGATAAAGATAAATAAGAACAAATGATGAAGGCAAAATAATTTTGTCATTAGTAAGTAGTAATTATTTGAGACTAATCTCGTTTAAGATAATACTGGAAACCAGGAAACATTTGAGAACTGTTTGCTTCTCGTATAGGTGTTGGTAATGTTAGATTCCCAGAACTCACTTGGTAAATGTCTCATTATAGTGAAAATTCACTAACATTCCACTACTAGAAACGGTTGATTTTATTTGCAATGAACTAACAGAGAGGCGCATAGAAACCCCAATTTCAGCATCCGCGATAAAACAGTTAATTTTTAGATGCATAATGAATATCCAATTCAGATTTGACAACGAATACTATAGACGGCTAGATGGAGTTGCCATGGGATCACCATTGGGCCCTCTACTGGCTGATATTTTCCTTCGAAAACTGGAAAACGGACCACTTAAAAACATAATTAGCCATTTACCAACTTATTATCGCTATATAGACGATACCTTCATAGTATTAGAAAAAGAAAATGATAAGGACAATTGACTTTATTTAATTAATTAATTTATTTATTTGGACACATGAATATTGGTACAAGAGAGCGCCAATATATATGCGCCACACAAAACAATGAAAATTCGAGAGGAATACAAAGAAAGAAAAAAAAGCTAAGGAGCGCAACAACACCAAAAAAGAGAGAACAATAACGAAGAGATTGGTGTAAGGTAATGTGCTAGTAATCAGGGAACGCAAAGGTACAATCGGAAGAAATCTTTCAGGTAAGCGAGACAGAACCACTTTTTATGAAGAAAGTAAAAGAAGGTTACAGCAGGATCGCCACTGGCTTCTATTCTGAGCCATATCTGATAACGTCTCTAGCCACTGTGTAGCACCATCTCTCAGACCCCAGCCAGGGAGTCGTGAAGGACCAACACAAGCCAGTCCTTTGCAGCTTTCTTTCATGCCACGACACCATGTCATGCACTGACCACCTCTCAGCTTCTTCCAACCAGTCCCAGAGTCGGCAAATAATGCACGACGTGGAATCCTCTGGGACGACATTCGGAGAACATGTCCAAGCCACCGAAGTCAGCGTTTCAAGATGGTGACATCGATTGCATTATCATCTCTGTGCCCGAACACACGATGCCGAACCTCTGCATTACTAACATGGTGTTGCCACTGAATGTCAGCAATCCTTCGGAGACAGCGATGATCGAACACAGAGAGTCGTCTAACGTCCTCAACTCGGAGAGGCCAGGTTTCACAAGCATAGAGCAAAACTGCTCTCACCGACGCGTTGTAGATCCGGCCTTTTCACGGCCAGACTAACATCACGAAGGCGCCATAGATGGCCCAGATTGGCATAAGCCGCTCTGGCTTTCACTATACGTGCATTGATCTCATCACTCACACCCCCACCAGCACTTATGCAGCTACTCAGATACACGAACTTCTCGACTACTTCTATCTGCTCACCATGTAGAGTGAGTACAGGATTAGAATCCTGCCAGTCTTGTAGAAGTACTTTGCACTTCGAAGGTGCAAAGCACATATCATACCTACGGACACTGATTGCCAACTGATTAAGTGCGGATTGCATGCCTTGGGCATTATCGCACAGTAAGACAATATCGTCCGCATACTCAAGGTCGAGAAGTCTTTCTCCAGGCAACAGATCCACACCACCATTACTTACATTCATCAGAGCTGTTTCCAGAATGTCATCGATGGCAAAGTTGAAGAGGAATGGTGAGATTGGGCAACCCTGCCTAACCCCACTGCTCGAATGGAACAATGGAGAGAGGTGGTTGTATGCCCTCACTCTGCCTGAGGTGTTTTTATATAGGGCTTTTAGGATGTTAATAAACTTCTCAGGCACACCCTTCTTCAATAGACAATCCCAGAGAACAGTCCTATCCAACGAATCGAAGGCAGCCCTGATGTCAAGAAACACTACGATTGTTGGCCTTTGATAAGTATGGCGGTGTTCTAACATTTGGCGGAGGGTGAAGATATGATCAATACATCCTCGACCAGAACGAAACCCAGCCTGCTCCTCGCCAGTCAATCTTTCTCGGGTTTTGAACAACCTACGAAGAATGACGGAAGCCAATAGCTTGGACGCAATCGGAAGTAAACTTATCCCCCGATAGTTGTTACAAGAACGACGTGAACCCTTTTTAAAGATAGGGACAACTATCGACTCATTCCATGACGTTGGCACACTCTCTAGTTCCCAAACCTTTGTAAACAACGTCGTCAATTCCTTAGTCAAAAAGTCACCACCATCTTTAAAAAGAGCCGGAGGTAAGTCATCTGGGCCAGGTGATTTGTAACGCTTCAAGAGTTGGAGTTCCTTGCGGACTTCCTCCTCATTTGGTGGATCAGTCGTCACCGGCCATGGAGGGCAGGACAGTCTGACCGATGTTGCCGGAGCAGCAGGCCAGTTGAACTGCCCTTCGAAGAATTCTGCCCATCGTCCAAGACGTCGATGGATGTTAGTGATTGGCATCCCATCATCCTCGCAGATTGTTTCACTCACACCAGACTTCTTGCTGTCAGTGGCTCGGATGAGTTGGAAGAGCTTCCGGTAGTTACCAGATGCAGCTGCTGCTTCCAGCTCATTAGCACGCATCGACCACCAGGCTTCTCGGTCCTTACGCAAGCTTTGCCCGATTTCCTTACGTAAAATCCTTCGTTTATGGTCAAACTCACGGTTACCCGGAGTAGACCGACGGGCTTCAATGAGTTGTAAGGAACCAGAAGAAACCCAGTGCTTAAAAGCGGGACGTTTCGCAAACCCACAACTGACGGTTCCCGCCATTTTCATGGCGTCATGCAATTGCAACCAATGCTCATCTATACTTTTCGGTGGAGTGGTAGCTAGCCTAGAGGCTAGCTCGGTTCGATACTTATTTCCAACAGAAGTTGCAACCAGCTTGCTAACATCAATCTTTTGGTGGTGGTCACTTCGTTGGCCACTGAAAAGTAAGGCAAGATTGGCGCAGACCAAGGCATGGTCAGAGTCCAGATAGGTACTTCAAAAGGAGCGGCAGTCTTTTAGACAAACACGCCAGCGGTAGCTGATCGCGATGTGATCAATCTGAGTCCAGGCTTGAGATGCAGAGGGAGGACGCCAGGTGGCACATCGGCGATGATTGTGCCGAAAGTTAGTGCTAGCCAGAAACAGGTTGTGGTCTGTGCAAAGGTGCAGTAGACGGTCCCCGTTATCTGACCTGCGACCAACAAGTCCCCATCGGCCACCTAAACGACTCTCTTCTGTGCCTAGACGCCCGACCTGAGCATTCAAGTCTCCGGCTAGTACTACAATATCTGTCGAACGCACTTTCTGGAGAAGAACTGATAACTGGTGGTAAAACTCATCCTTGATTGCATCCGGGCTGCAATCTGTCGGGGCATAGGCGGAGATGACGAAACGACATCGTTTCTCACGCCGATTTCTTCTCACTTTGATGGAACTTTCTAATCTAACAGCACATAACCGACTGTTAATGGGGATCCAATCGACTAGTGCTGCCTCAGCTCTAGCGCTTAGTGCGACACCAACGTCAGCAAAATCAGACGAAGAAACCACAGGGTCCCCGGATAAACACACATAAAACAAGCTTTTTGAAGTGACAGATGGAGATCGAATTTGTAGTACTTAGCCAGAGTCTTGAATACGGGTCTCGGATAGACAACACACGTCGATATTAAGACTTTCCAAAGACATAGCCAGCCCTATCTGTTGTCCGACCTGCATAAATGTGCGAACGTTGAAGGCAGCCAGTTTGAATGGTGCACGTGGTTTCAGAAAATCTGCTTCAGTCCTCGTATTCGGTGGTAACATACAATTTTCAACCGGACAGTGACTCGAGAACGTTTAGATACAGTCGGATTTCCACCAAAGACGAGCCGCTGTATAAGTATAAAAGAAGGTGAATAATGTGGAAAATAATAATAATAATGATAATAATAACAATAATGACAATAATAGTAGTAATAATAATATTAGTATTAATAATGACAATAATTGTAGTGATCATAATTTGAATCAATTGATTGTTTTTCAAAGCGACAAAAGTAATTTCCATAGACATAAAGAGTTCATCATTTGTGTGTGGGCTGTGATACTGCCCGGGTGCCCAAACCGAAGCAGGTGGTTATCTTAGGGGGCCACTCCCCGAGCCTTTGACCTAAAGGTCTAACCCACAAGGCAGTGGAGCATCGTAAGGAGATGCAGTCCCATGGTAGCCGGTGACCAACGATTGGTTCATACTCCATTCGTTCCCTCAGGATACTGGAGCCCATGTGCACCATTGGTTTGTGATCCGGTTAAAGCGCCGGACATTCGCTTTTCGTCCTCTCATTTTCGTAAACAACACCGCCGCCACGAGAAGGCAATGAGTAGGACTTCCCTGGCAGAGGCTGTATACGCGTGGCCGTGTGAGAGTATTTCGAGAGGGAGAGCGGACTCTCCCCACTCTCGGCCGTACCAGGGCATTCAGGGGGCTGCAACAACAGTGGTCTACTATGGTAGGTAGTTAAGCAGTTCGTTGTTAATTCATAAATAAAACAAGAAACTCCTACTATTATTACAATATAACTGACTCCTCAAATTTGTTATACACAAAAAAACCCGATTAATTCAACTCACCATCATCTGTTTGGCCATCTAGCGGATCATCCATTTCAACTTGCCAACTACTATTGGTATTATTCTCCCCTTGATTGTCGCTTGTCCATTCAACTAAATGAAAACAGAAAACACTTTGATGAAAAACATATAAATAGAAATCATCATTACTGTTTGAGAAAACCTACTGAGAATTTTTAATATTTGTTCACCATTTACAATTTAGATACTTCCGAATCATTTAATCGTGACTAAGTGGTCTAATCAGCCAAGGTCTCTCCATGAAACCTGAAGGTCCAGGTTCGATCCTCGGTGTGGTCGTGGATGCGTACTGCGTACGTACTCGGTGTTGACCCATATACTTGTTTCATGAAAGATAATGGAGATATTACCTACGCATTTGCTCTAAACTAAAATAAATGAGGCTACATAGAAACTTTATAAATTGAGACACTGTAACACTCAACATCATGAGAAATATTTATAGTTATTAAAGAACATCATATTACCTGTATTACGATTAAACAAATCCAATGAAACAGCATGAGCTAAAGCCATAGATTTTCGTCGCATAGTATGTCTTTCAAAACTGTCTAATTCAGGGACAACTGGTGATATACCACCACCAGTAAGTATAGAATCACCAGAACTAACTGTGAAGTGATTTTCATCTACAGTCAGACTGTCAGTACGTACATTCAAAGTCATTCGACGCTGTGAAGTACAGCTAGTGATTGATTTTGCACGTTGAAGTATAGCTTCTAATAAAGTAGTTTTTGAAAAAAGAGAAAACAGAAAAAAATAGAAAAAAATAGGGGGGGGGAATACACGACAAGACTGTTTTTTTGTCATGCGAAACTATGTAAGGTTTCACTACACTCGTGACAACCATGAATAAAACTCAACTAACAAAGATTTTATAACCAATTTTCCTGTGCTCAGAGTAATACAGTGAAATTCATGTACATGATTTAAATTAAAAATATATGTAGAGCAGTTGGATATTGTTAAACGGTGGCGAATATCGAGAAAGCTGTAAATTATGGAATTTTTTGAAATGATTATTATTCTTATTACATTTTGATTGCATAAAATTATTAAACAACTGGATTAGTTTATTTTACATTGATTGTATTGTACATTTCTTTTGTACTTTTTAATTTTGGTAATACGTTCCATTGCTATTCAATTATTGCTGACTGGTTACTCAAACTTTGTTCTGTTCTCTAACATTTTATGGGATGATTGTGTTTAGACTAAAATTCCCTATTTTAGGTGTGTTGTGGTCTGATAACCCATGTATATATAAATCAGAAGTGTGTAGGGAAGATATCTAAATGCTAATTTCGTCTTCGAATTGGACAATGGGTTGGAATGAGCTTGAAAATAAATAGGCTTTAAGATCTCAGTTGATATCCATCAATGAAATAAGTTATTGATCAGTCCTACGGGCGAAGTAGTTAATAAGTGGACACGACAACTATCTTCTCGTAAAATAAACAACCATATCATACGAGAGCAAAACAATGGAATCTACTCGAAAATATGATAAATATTAGGAAGTAATACTGAAATTCCATACTCGGAAAATCAATTGTTATCCCAGTAGAGAGAACATGGTGTTTCGAATTAGCTAAAAACAAAAATACTAGCAATGTAACAACGTAGCAACTATGAGAGTAGATTCATAGACTGAATTACGAGAGTGGTAACTGTTCTAATAACTGCTATTCGTTCTGTTGCCTACATTAGTAGTTTGGAAACAGCAAGTCATGGATCTGATAAAGTACAAGTTGTAGTACAGTTGGTATGTGGCTAGTAGCGGGATCGAAGATCAGCATTTAGTTCTACTTATGACTCATTAGATAGATGTTCACCGTGATACTCGAACCTTATACTTATCGTTTCAAACGCCAATGAGTTATCCACTGAGGAACGAGGTCCAGCTAACCTGCCCACTGACCTCAGTTTTAGACAAATTTACTAAAACTTGTGAAATAACGGTATATTGAGACAATTCGCTTAGGACGCCCATTTAACTGCGTGGACGTCCCACAACACACCTCGTCGAAGTCTCTAGAGACCCAGAGAACATTTCATCCAATCAGTATTGGATAGAAGCTTCTCAGAATCATCTGGAAAATGAGGAGTCATGTGTAAGGTTTTCAACTGGATATTTATCTATATTGTTGCTACATGTAGTGCTTCCAGGGATTTCTAGAATCCCAAAGTTAAGCATAAATCCATAAATACTTTGGGCTTTACATACATTGACCGACTTTACGGAAACGCTCTTAATCCCATTGAGCACTTCTTTTTAATCGTTTTAATTGACGTGTAGAAGCTTAGGGTTATAGGAAGCGGTTGATTAGGAAGGCAGAAATAAGCGTTTTAGTAGCAGACTTAACAATGAAAACAGAGAATAATCAATTGAAGTCCAGAGTACCAATAATAACAAACTGCAAATCTTCACTAATAAAATACAGTTTGGAAAGTGAGTTTCTGAACTAGTAACGAATAAACGTTCTCATCAAAAAAATAACATAACGTATAATTGTAACGTTAATTTTGATTAATTACAAATAAACTTTTACATAAATTTTACACTTACGAGCAGATTCACTGAAATCTATTTGCCTTAAACATGATGTTTCTTCAAAATCTCTAAGAGTACCAAGTATGACACTGAAATTAAACATATAGGTAAACATACTAATGTACGTACAGCATATTAGCTAAATTTATAGACAACTATTGTTTATAATCAAACCAGTCAATTATAAACAACGTAAAACCTAGCGTACATGCGTATCTGTTGAAGTCACCACACCAAATCAGCACAAAGATAATGAAATAGTCTAGACAAATCTCAGAGTAGTAGAATAAGTAACAGCATTGGTGGGAGTAAAAGAGGTCAGTTATAGAAGACAATGATTTGAAATGAAAGAATAAATTTAAAGAATGAAAACAAATGAGATGATTTTAAATCTGAAGATCAGAGGGAAGACAAAGAGAATAGATCTAAGACATTGCAAACAATTCTAAGCAAAGTCACTCAACGTCATCGACCACTGGTTATGATAACTAGGCAGACCCTAACCGAGTAGTCGGAAAGTACCAACAAATCAGGCCAACAGTTAAAGAATCTAAGGATTGATACGTTTTGGTTTCACCTCCCTTAGCTTTATTCCAACCTACTCCTAAACCAACAAAAATTGTTCGTTGAGGAAAGTGGTGATTGAATGTAAGTAATACATATTTTAACTACCTTAATTGATGAAGGTTTACTACCTCACTAACCGATTTGTCATGCTTGACTTGAGCATTCTTCCCTTAGTGTGCAAACGTTTATATTAAAATAGACGTGATACAACATAAAGCAATGAGTTAGGCAGTATAAGTTAACTATTATAGCACACAAACTAATATTACTTACTGAAAAATCTAGTCTGAAACGATTTTTTCCAGCTAATGTCATTACTTTGTGATGAAAACTATGCTCAATTTGTATTTTTAAAAAACTTTACAAAATAAGAACTCAAATTTAAATAATCTACAAGTATTTAAAAAATTCCTAGTAGATTCAAATGTTGACGACAAGTGGATGGAGATAAGAAGGAATCCATAAGTTTGAAGCAAACATACATATGGTTGAAGGGAAAACGTTTTAATCAACCAGTGTCGAATAAAAGTTTCTCAAAAACATCTAGAAAGTGAAGAATCACGTGCCACATTTCTAATCAGATGACTACCTTTGTCTAGTAGGGTTCCAAAACCTTTCAGAAGCCCAAGGCCATATGAAATGTTATAAATACCCTCGATTTTCTGTACATAAACTAACGTTGGAGTAAAGTGTTCTTTCCACATGCCGTGCCTTTTCTCTCGTGTTCAAGTTGTCACGTAGATCTAGCCTGGGGTTATTAGAGGAGTTTAGTAAACTGATTCAAGAGTTGTCAGAAAATTTATCAGTTTATATTTTTATTCTATAATTATTAAACACTTGAATAATGTTATATTCTCAAACTGTAACCTACCATTTGACATATAAACTATCACTGTATGTTTTATCTTCCCTATATTATTGTTAGTCAATTACAGACTTATCCACTTACTCTTTCTTTCACTTATAGTTAAGCACAAATTGTAATTTCTTATTTATATTGATGTGTGGTTAGGAATTTACTTTACATTTATTTATTTATTTATTTGAACACATAAATATTGGTACAAGAGAGCGCCAATATATATGCGCCACATAAATGTATGAGTCATGAAAAAGAATCGGCTGCTCAGCAAAACTGGCTAACTGCTTTGTCTTCTGACTGGACACTGATTTCTAACGAACTTGAAGAAAAACAGGCGTCAAGTTCGCAGTTTATTGGTCACTATCATTGGTTATCAGTCTGATGGAGAATATAGGCGAGCAAATTAAAAATACAACTGGACAATACAATTACTCCCATAATAAACGATTTAATCACATGGGTCCCAATACAATGAAAGTGTCTGTTCTTTTGAAGATATGACAATTCGCTCAACAAAACATGAAATATTAACTATGTAACGGTTAATTTATTTTGTTTTCACTTTTGTTGATTTTTAAGACTGACTAAGGATCAATCCGCGTTGGGATAGAAACTCATTTGACAGACTTCTCAATATTATTTGGAGTCAGAAGTTGACCACACTTTGTAAAGAATCGTGAGCCAAATATATTATACAGGATGCAAAATGGATCAATTCGGTACTGAATATTAATAACTGAAAACCCCAAATCGTTATCAATACTAGTAAGATATTGAATAAGTGGCTCAATAGCCTAGTGACTAAATTAAAATTCTAGATTTTATTCCTAATCACTACTAAGGATTTATTATGAAAAGGTTGTAAATATTTATTTACATTTGAAGTATATTGTGTAACAAAAACCCTATTAGTTGAATACATACCGTGTTGCATTCATATAGCCTGAAGCCATTTTTTTAATTGCTGAAGATAATGGTGTTGGAATAGCATCTGAAAAAAATATAAATTAACGCAACAGTGAGGAATTAAAAATAATAAACATTAAATTATACACGGATTTTTATCATGGATTGATAATTCAATAAACAATCGTTAAAAATTACAGAGTATTGTCTCATCATTCTACTTAGACCCAGATCGTTAATGAGTAACCAAGATATCACATGAAATATTAAACAATATGATGTATAGAGCATTCGGCAAGCATCTACAGAACTCATTGAACTTCAGACAGTCGGTGATACAGAACGATCATAATTCTGTACGAAAAGTAAGAAGATTTAGACTACTTTTAACCTGTTTGTCTAGACAGATAGTAGCTAAATTTGATAAATTTAATAAAGACCAATACATCAAAAACAGTTTATCCCATTTCGAAAATAAAGAAGTTATGATAACGAACAAAACGTGGACTTCAACCAACGAATTTCATATAAACAATAGCACAAATTTACTGTAATGCTGAAAAGCTATCCAACTTAACAGTCTGCCAATTCATGAACAATGAATCACACACTTTTTCCTATGAAACATAATGATGATAGATGATTTACGTTACAAACCTAGAATCTAACCAATAAACTACATATTTTTCTTTTGTTTGACCTATCAGTTACACAGCCTAAATATTTGAGGAGAGTCCGTTTTAGTTTACGTTAATGTGGTATTAAAATAAAAATATTACTTTTATACTAATACCATATATATTCGGTGGATTAGGATCAAAGTAGAGACTGGTACAGATGTGATTTGGCCCAAGTAGCCATACCACATTAGCATGACTAAATGAAAATAATGTAGTAGGAATGTTAAAGACGATGACTAAACCTTAGGAATATGGTTTAAAAAAGCAAAGTGGAAAGGTATGTATGAAGGGATACTGTAATTCAAAGCAATGATTTATAGTCATGAAGCAGAACAGAACGGACTGTTGTACATCATACTTGATTTACATAGAAGATGAGCATATTGCCTACTCCACAAATAACACAAGTTGGATGAAGTCAAGAAAGATTTGTTTAGATACTAACTCACTAGAGTTGATAAGACTTTTAATAGAATGGGAATGGTAGATGCGCTCAACTACTTTACTCTCTCTCTCTCTCTCTCACACTAGTTCAGATGTTCATGTAGATCAGTTCTGAAGTAACACTTCGTATTTAGAAAGAGAAAAAGGAATCCTAAACATGTCGGTATTGTTCCTTCAGGTGGTCAAAAGATTCTTCATTTTGTGAGTATCTTCATCAAACAGGACTATGCTATCTATGTATCCTAAGTCAGTGAGTACAGCTCCTAGAAGAAGATCAACCTTTGAATGGTTAAATAGTTTCCAATCATTACAGACTGATCTCATGTGGGGTAATAATGAAAACCAGAGATTATTGAATAAATACTTCATCGAAGAATGGGACTCCTTGTTAGTGCGCACACACGACCTTATCACAGGTTGAACCCACAAGCTTCAGGCTCAAGACGAACTAATAAAGACTACTGCATCGACGCCCGATCGGAAAAATCTAACTTCAATTAATTTGTTACATAGAAGCGATCGCCATCCAGTCCCACTAGCGACAATTGTTTCACTCCCAAAATGTTTAGACTCCACCAGTTACAACTTTTTTGCTAATAATTCGGAAATATCTTGAAGTAACTCACTAGTGAGCTCATTGCTTTAATTTATTTAAGCAGGATTCTCTGGAGATAAGTTTAAATTACATCTTGTATAATTACAAATGCTTAAAAAACCCATTTACCTGAACGAAAATATCGGCGATATATTGGGAATAAAAGTAATGGGCGTCCAGGACTAGTCCATGCATGTTTTAAATAACCTATACATGTTCGAAAACAATCCAACAGAAATTCTATATCCAAATTTAAATAAAATGCATGATGATCAAAGAACTACAGAACAATGAAGAAAAAAACATATAAGAAAAAAGTCTACAGAAGTAATTCATTGAATAATCAAAAGCAAACAAACAAAATTGTGAAGTTTAATGTTTACAAAATCAGTATTCTTGGTTACACATAGAACTTAAGTCAATCAAACAAAAATAGTGTAGAACGTAACGCAAATGTTAATTGGACCAAGGTCTGATACCACGTTAGCATGGTGAGATGGAATTAACAAGATATATTATGACCGAATTAATGTAATACCAGTATTTAGGATGATCAGAAAAGCGGTATAAAAAGTACAAATTAATACTGAAACTCAGGGAGTAGGAGCAAGTGAAGAATGAATACACTTACTTCACTGCAGAAGATCCTGGATCATCGCACCTATCGGATTCAACCAATACATAAGATTATTATAAGGAACATGACAAGAATTATGATAACTCTGACACGCAATCCCGATAAAAAATTAATAAATCTAATGTTTGGTTGGTTAAGTGTCGGCTCGGATAATTTTAGCTTTCTTCTAATGTAATCATGTCCCAGCAAGTATTGAAATTTATAGTAATTGGTGTATATATTATTTGTAGAAACTATCGAAGAGAATTTGTAGTGAACACTATAGGTCAATTATTTATTGACTAGTTTATATATGTATCATAACAAAATTATTTTGTTTTCGAAACTCTGAAGTTTCTTATGGTGAATGTACAGTAGAGTGGAAGCATCTCATGTATATTGGTTAGAACAAACAGTTTACAATTGATAACACGTAAGCATCTGTTTTTCCCCTATTTTGTTGTAAGACGTGAAGTGACCTTATATTGGCATTGAGTGAGTATGTAGTAAGCCTATTCAACTACTGTATTATTTATCTGCTCACTGTAATTTAGACACTTGATCCACCATGTAATTTTCTGTATGAGTCTGACTGAGCACATGTCAATTTTTAATCTATTCTCCCATTGGTCGTAATACACAGACAATCAATAATTTATCCATACTTGATTAACACTCATAAATATATATGGATTTTTAACACACACACACACACTCACTCTTAGTTTCCCTTTGTGTTTGCCTCCTGTACGCTTACGGATTTTACCAATCTTTAACAATAAACTATCTCTATAACTGGTGTTCAGACTTTTGAATAATCTCGAGTAAGTCCATAATTCTACTAGAAGATTTAGCCTGAATTTAATATTCAGTTGACGGGATACTATTTATTGGAGTCAGATATAGGGGACATTAGCCCCTACAAGTATATCAAATAATGATTTAGGTGTTAACATATTTTTTTAACTTTTTCTAGCACTAGTCATCTCCTAGGCCATCACAGAAGGGTTTAAAAACTACAGTCGAATAAACTCAGAGTGGGATTCCGAACACCCTATCCAAACAAGTAGTGTCAACCCTATTGGCGTACACTTTTTAAAAACTAGATCTTTACTGGAAAGCATACTTCAAATATTAACACAAGTCGACCAACCTATCCTTATCACTGAGGTCTGAAAAAATAACTTATAGAGAATCACACTTGGTGAAATTCCAAGTAAAAATTTATCAACAATGGTGCTGACAAACATATTATTCACCATATTTTCGATTATCCAAACGTCTTTTGCATACTACAAGTGTGTATTATTTACACACTAAAGAAATAAGAAGTATACACATAAGGTAATCAATTTAGACACTAATTGATTCAGAGATTCGAGCACAGTTCGCAGTCTACAAGAAATATCAAAATTCACAAATTACTTCCTGTCAAAATGACATTCTCCTCAGCTTTACGTGCACACATTGTATGAACTAACGAGACATTCGGTATACTTTAAGTATTGGATGACATTACATAACAAATAGGAATAATGGGAATCACTCTTTTTCTTAAAAACGTTGACACGTAAATCACACGTTCAAACCACTGTGATTTATTTTAATATACTGAACTTGGTAATACAACAATTAGCCCTTATACCAACCTAAATACCGAATTTGGAATACATGATTATAACAATATAAGGAAGAGATTACAATAACCGCGATGGACTTTTAGACAGCTCTTAGCCAATCAGAAAACAGCCTTTATAAGTGTTCTCTTATCAGACTGGAAAGAGGGACAGAAAATGGATGTACATTCTGGACCATTGGGAATTAAAATTATCTCGGCCTCAACCCAAGTTTAATTGTGCTAGGCTAAGTGTATCACTGGTCACACACAGTCAATATTGCATGACAACAGAACAGGATCATCAATTGGTATCGATGACAATTTAGTTAAAACACTAGCCACTAAATGCCCTGGTATGGCCTCCCTCTCGAAATGCTCTCACACGGCCACGCGTATACAGCCTCTGCCAGGGAAGTCCTACTCACTGCCTTCTCGTGGCGGGGGTGTTGTTTACGAAAATGAGAGGACGAAAAGCGAATGTCCGGCGCTTTAACCGGATCACAAACCAATGGTGCACATGGGCTCCAGTATCCTGAGGGAACGAATGGAGTATGAACCAATCGTTGGTCACAGGCCACCATGGGACTGCATCTCCTTACGATGCTCCACTGCCTTGTGGGTTAGACCTTTAGGTCAAAGGCTCGGGGAGTGGCCCCCTAAGATAACCACCTGCTTCGGTTTGGGCACCCGGGCAGTATCACAGCCCACACACAAATGATGAACTCTTTATGTCTATGGAAATTACTTTTGTCGCTTTGAAAAACAATCAATTGATTCAAATTATGATCACTACAATTATTGTCATTATTAATACTAATATTATTATTACTACTATTATTGTCATTATTGTTATTATTATCATTATTACTATTATTTTCCACATTATTCACCTTCTTTTATACTTATACAGCGGCTCGTCTTTGGTGGAATTCCGACTGTATCTAAACGTTCTCGAGTCACTGTCCGGTTGAAAATTGTATGTTACCACCGAATACGAGGACTGAAGCAGATTTTCTGAAACCACGTGCACCATTCAAACTGGCTGCCTTCAACGTTCGCACATTTATGCAGGTCGGACAACAGATAGGGCTGGCTATGTCTTTGGAAAGTCTTAATATCGACGTGTGTTGTCTATCCGAGACCCGTATTCAAGACTCTGGCGAAGTACTACAAATTCGATCTCCATCTGTCACTTCAAAAAGCTTGTTTTATGTGTGTTTATCCGGGGACCCTGTGGTTTCTTCGTCTGATTTTGCTGACGTTGGTGTCGCACTAAGAGCTAGAGCTGAGGCAGCACTAGTCGATTGGATCCCCATTAACAGCCGGTTATGTGCTGTTAGATTATAGTTCCATCAAAGTGAGAAGAAATCGGCGTGAGAAACGATGTCTTTTCGTCATCTCCGCTTATGCCCCGACAGATTGCAGCCCGGATGAAATCAAGGATTAATTCTCAGTCAGTCAGTCAGTCAGTAACAACGTAGAACTTCGTACGTACGTACATCAGTTCGAGTTGCCACACCACATAAGCACAGAGATGCAGTTGTCGATTCAAATCCCGTAGTGGTAGAGGTAATAAGAGTATAAGCAGTAATCGGGAAGATTAGGGTTTGGAGATGTTATTTAAAGAGTATAATCCAGTGAAATAAATGTGGAAAGAGGAAAAAAGGGACATGAAGAATTCATAAGATTAGAATTTGGGAGAACACAGAGAGTGGATGCACCTGCGCCATTGCAAACGATTTTGAGCCATGTCATTCAGGGTCTCTAACCATCGGTTGCTATCATCTCGCGGTCCCCAACCAGGTAGTCTGCACCTACCAACATGACTCAGTCCACTTGTCAGTGACTTCATGGACTTGTGCCATGTTTTGGTCTGGCCGCCCCTAGCTTTCTTCCAACCTACTCCTATACCACTGAACATAGCACGTCGAGGCAGTCGGTCGTTGGACATACGTAACACGTGTCCCAGCCACCTCAACTGATGAAGTTTCACTACTTCATCAATTGATTTGCTATCCTTACCTAGTACCCGTTTCCTAACAACTGTGTTACTTACTCGATGGTCCCAGGATATACGAGCAATGTTTCGAAGACACCTATGATCGAATACTAGTAGCCTACGTATATCCTCTACTCTTACCGGCCATGTTTCACTGCCATAAAGAAGGACGGAACGAACTGCTGCGCAGTAAACACGTCCTTTGGTTGATAGACGGATATCTCGCCTACGCCATAAATGACGCAAGTTGGCAAAAGCTAGTCGAGCCTTCTGTATCCGTGCTGAGATTTCGTCACAAACCAGACCACAAGGCCTGATGAGACTTCCAAGATAAGTGAAGCGGTCGACACACTCAACTACTTCACTCCCTATCACTAGTTCGGGTGTCGATGTAACCCAATCCTGAAGCAACATTTTGCATTTCGAGGGAGAGAATCGCATCCCGAACATGCTTGCATTGTTGCTTAGAGTGGTCAGAAGACTCTGCATTTTGTCAGCGTCTTCACCAAATAAAACTATGTCATCTGCATATTCTAAGTCAACAAGTGAACCTCCCGGTAGAAGTTCAACCCCTGGAAATTTAGATGAGGAGAGTGTTATCTCTAAAAGTACGTCGACCACAAAGTTGAACAAGAATGGGGAGAGTGGACAGCCCTGACGAACACCACTTGAGGTAATTAATTCTGATGACAGTTCGCCATAAGCTCTCACTCTACCAGTTGTGTTCGAGTAGAGAGCCTTTATAAGGTTAATGTACTTCTTTGGTACTCCTTTCAGTGACAAACACTGCCATAGAACCTAACGATCAACAGAGTCGAATGCCGCCTTAAGTTCGAGAAATACTACCATTGTGGGGCGTCTGAATGTGTGTCTGTGTTCCAGAACCTGACGTAGTGTGAATATCTGATCTATACAACCACGTCCAGGTCGAAAACCGGCCTGGTTTTCTCTAATCTGCTCTTCACGAGCTTTGATTAGGCGTCGAAGTATTATTGAGGCTAGTATTTTAGACACTATATTAGTCAAACTGATTCCTCTGTGATTGTCACAGGAGGACTTATGTCCTTTCTTATAGACTGGCACAATCAGTGATTGAGACCAGTCAGATGGGATTACGTCCAGTTCCCAAATTCTACCTAAGACCTCGGTTAATCTCATTGCTAATACTGGACCACCATCCTTAAAAATCTCAGGAGTAAACCTGTCAGGGCCTGCTGCTCTCCCTCGTTTCAGATTTCCTATGGCTTTTTCAACTTCGTAAAGGGACGGAGGACCTACATTAATTTGCCATTCAGGTTGACTAGAGATCGTGGGAAACCGAAGTGTGACTGAAGGCCAGTTGAACTGACCCCTAAAGTGTTCTGCCCATCGATCCAATCTCCTGGATTGAGAATGTATAATATGTCCATCTTTCTCTGAGATTGTTTCGCTAACGGTCGGGTTCCTAATTCTGGTTTCCTTAACGAGTCTGAACAATTGTCTGCTATTACCTAATCCCGCTGCCTTTTCCATCTCTCTTGCTTTCGCTACCCACCACTGTTCGCGATCATTGCGTAGACTTTTTGTCAGCTTGCGCTTAAGCTGACTCCGATCTTCATTATGTTCAGAGCCAGGTGGAATGAGTTTCCGAGCATCTATCAGTGCGATAGATGCTGCTGAGATCCAGTGTTGCTCCCTAACCTTCTGGTTTACCTTACTAGCAGATATCACTGCTGTTTCCACAGCTTTTCGGATATCATTCCATGCTGCCTCAGGGTGAGCGTCACATACATGGCTGCCTAACTGTTTTCCTAGTTGTTCCTGAAATATACTCTTAGCTTGACTATCATTAAGTAGGGCCCTAAGAGGTTTCCTTGCAGCGTCTTTCCTACGTCCAGTAAGACGCAAGCAAATACGCGCTCGCACTAGAGCATGATCTGAATCTAGGCATGTGCTCCAGAATGAGCGACAGTCTTCTATCGAGCCCCTCCATCGGTGGCTGATAGCGATGTGATCTAGTTGGGTCCAACGTTGGGACGAATTAGGGGGTCGCCATGTTAAAAGATGTTTTTCCTTATGCTTAAAGTTAGTATTTGCAAGGAACAGGCGGTTATCTGAGCATAGCTGCAACAGACGGTCGCCATTATCTGTTCTTTGAGCCACGACACCATAAGATCCACCTAGGTGTCTTTCCCTGTCGCTTAGTTTACCTACTTGAGCATTAAAGTCACCGGCCACTATTACTACATCCGAGCGCTTAGCTTTTCGGAGAAGGTCCGAAAGCTTTCTGTAAAACTCATCTTTTACATCATCTGAGCTGCAGTCAGTGGGAGAATAGGCAGAGACGACGAAGAGGCAACGACGAGTGTCCCTATCTTTTCGGATCCTCATTGTTCCATTCAGTCGGACAGCGCACAAACGACTGTCTACTGGGATCCACTCTAAGAGAGCTAGTTCTGCCCTAGGACTCAATGCTATACCTACGCCGGCGAGGCCACGGGAAGCACAATCGGGGCTTCCAGATACACGAAGCGTAAATCGAGTCGGTTCTTTATTTTGGCATGGTGAGGTCAAATGAATGACGCTACATGGATCCTGTATGCGCGTTTCGGAGACGCAGCACACATTGATGGCGCGAGATTCTAAAGTCCTAGCTAAGGAAGCCTGCTGTCCTATTTGGCAAAGTGTTCGTACGTTAAAAGCTCCTACATGTAGTTTAGAGCGTGGTTTCAGGAGACCAGGAATAGCGTTCCACGTACTCGAATCGTTTGCTCTAGCGGTGCAAGGTGATAAAGAGATGTGAGGTGAAGGAAGGATTTGAATGTGACCAACTTGGTCTCGTGTGCTGTTACGGGTATGAGGGCTGGTGTCACTTCCCGGCTGCCCACACCGTGGAAGGGTATTTCTTGAGGAACCTGAAAAGGAAATTGGATTAGTGTTGGTCTTAACGACCTGGGAGCGTGACCGCAGGGCCCAAGGGACAACTGCTTGAGGCCGGTCGCGCACGGCCTTTCGTGGGTTTTTTTTGACGTGTTAGCTCCGTTCTTCAAAGGGCCTTACCGCCGGAGACGGAGATCCGTGAGGTAAGGTGAGGTGTGACATTTTTAGGGTCGACCTTTTCTAACCCCACCCCTCCTTGTGGGAAGGCAGCATCGCTGTCATGCTGGTTGTCCGAGGGAAACACCTTACTGCTGTCACACCTCTCTACAGTCAGCAGTACGACTTCGCCCTCAGACCTTGAGTTGCTGCTTTTAGTCTTACCGTTCACCAATCGACCTGCCTGGCATGGTAGAACCTACAGGAACATATGTTCCAGCCAATATAGCTCGGTTGGGTCATCACGATAGGCAAGCCCGACCACCGCGTCAAGGTAGCAGCTTCGGTCGGGAAGGATTAATTCTACCACCAGTTAACCGTTCTTCTCCAGAAAGTGCGTTCGACAGATATTGTAGTACTAGCCAGAAACTTGAATGCTCAGGTCGGGCGTCTAGGCACAGAAGAGAGTCGTTTAGGTGGCCGATGGGGACTTGTTGGTCGCAGGTCAGATAACGGGGACCGTCTACTGCAGCTGTGCACAGACCACAACCTGTTTCTGGCTAGCACTAACTTCCGGCACAGTCATCGCCGATGTGCCACCTGACCGGATTTTATAGGTACAAAAACTAATAAAGTATGAAATTATTTATTACCGATTGATAAAACAAAAGTTAAAACAAACTACAGTTTAAGCATGATGATAATGAACAAATCTCTAAACTCTATAAAATGTTATTGTAGAACACAAAATATGTTGTTACATTAATTCACTTAAACATAAATATATTCAAGATTATATTACTAACCTGAGGAAGAAAAGCTAATGTTTCATCACCTAATCGATAGAATTGACTTGTTGAAAATATTCCTATTTCACCAGTTGAACGACCACTTAGAGAAAGTTTTTCACAAGCACCTAATAAATGATAAATGGAACAAATATATCTATGATGAATTTGCAATTTACATATTTGAAATATTCATTTCTTATAATTAAAATGATATATTCACATAATTATATGTTTTCTATGTTAACATTAAAAATGAATTCATTATTTCCATTCATCGAACAAATGTAGATGAAGACAACTCGTGTAGCAGCGGTCTTTGCATCAATAGGCCTCAACATACACAAGGGGAAAACCAAGATCCTAAAATACAACACGGAGAGCACCAACACAATCACACTTGATGGCGAAACTCTGGAAGATGTGGAATCCTTCACGAACCTGGGAAGCATCATCGATCAACAAGGAGGATCAGATGCAGACGTAAAGGCGAGGGTTGGCAAAGCAAGGGCCGCATTCCTACAACTGAACAATATATGGAACTCAAAACAGCTTTCAACCAATACCGAAGTCAGAATCTTCAATACGAATGTCAAGAAAGTTCTACTGTACAGTTCTACTGAAACTTGGAGAACTACCACAAACATCATAAAGAAGGTACAAGTATTTATAAAGTTTTCTATGCAACATATTCAATATTCATTGATCAGATACCATCAGCAATAACCTTCTGTGGGAGAGAACAAACCAGCTTCCAGTTGAAGAGGAAATTAGGAAAAGACGATGGAAATGGATAGAACATACATTACGCAAATCATCAAACTGTATTACGAGGCAAGCCCTAATTTGAAATCCTGAAGGGAAGTGGAAAAGAGGAAGGTCAAAGAACACACTACATCGGGAAATAGAAGCAGATATGAAAAGGATGAATAACAACTGGAAGGAGCTGGAAAGGATTGCTCAGGACAGGGTTGGATGGAGAGTGCTGGTGAGAGGCCTATGCTCATTCATGAGAAAAAAAACAGGCGTAAGTAAGCATTTCCATTCATATTTTGAAAAAGTATACAGACTAATGAGAAATTATTTTGTTATAATAGATTATGATTATTGGGATCATGTACAATATAATTCATCTGTGTTAAATAGCAAATGAAGTATGAAATAAATCACTGAAAAAAAACACAATAGCCAACACTTGGAATTATAAATCGTGGAACATTTTTACAAGTAAAATTAATCAAATATTTACAATGAGTTGGTAAACAATAGTTTACTATTTGATGGTAGTAGAATGAGAATCAAATTCGAAGAATAGAGAGAACTCTACTATTTCCTTCAAATTTGCATACTAGACAAGGAGTTACATTCAATGTATGGGGACTAGTGGTACTAAATAAAGGTTGATTGGTACGATGATAGAACTGTTGATGTATCCAGTTTAAAGTTCAGTAGCTGAATCAATCAGTTACCGCTTGCTAAGACGATCATAAGATTACTCAAATTTCGTTAAGAATGCTACAATCTTAGCAGAAATGATAACTTTAAGTTCTTTTTTTCCAAATCGATTTTGCGCATGACCTTTGCTTTTTTCTGATTGGTTACCATAGCTCTCAGATAAATTTCTGTACTCTCGAAGTTCATGTCTTCGTTTCTAGATATACAGAGTTGTGTTACGTTGTTTCATTCTGCCACCAAACACAATAAAAGCAGGTAGAACTTCATTTTAAACTTAAAATTAATTATTCTAAAGACACTTACCGTAAAAAAACACTTGTCTCCTATTTTCTATGAGATAATTGGTGACATGGCTCAGAATCGATCAGAATGACGTAGGTGTATACACTCTCTGTCTTCCCTTAAACTAAGAGATTAAAATCGCTTCATATCTTTCTTTCTACGAACTAATTCTTTCTTCCTGTACTATTACCATATTGTAATCTTTCTTTTATATATTACCACCTCTGAATTAACTACTTTTATGAATTCGGTGTCCATCTTGTTGTGTTAATGAGGTATGGCAACTTGGACCGATGCATATATGTGCTTGGTCCTACATTGTAGCTGACTGACTGACTGAATTGACAAGCTCAGTAGACACCAACCTCGTTAAACTAGTTTATATAAATATTCTTGTTACAGGGATCAAATATACTAGGTATAAGTTCTATTATAATTGGACAAAAATAGCATACATTGGATATTTAATGTACTAAGCCAAACTTAGGCTTGATATCGACTGATTTACAAACATTTATCTTTTTTTCCACAAAATTACAATATTACTGTAGTGAAGGAGAACTCAGGTAAAGAAAACCAATTTATTGTTGAATGCAAAAATACAGTGCTTTCTTAAAATATGAAAACCATACATTAAATACACCATTTGTACATCTTCCTTGAGTTGTCCTTTACATGCTCCATGATTTTTTTCCCATTTTACTGTCATTACAATTGCTCTCTGTTTCCCTTCGTGTTCCCTTCAATTCAATCTTCAGCTGTCGGGCATTCTAATTCTGATTGATGATATATACTACTAATATCTGTCAACATAATTAGCATACATTACACCACGAGTAAAATTCAACTTTTGGAAATGTCCAAAAGTCTTGGACTTTTTAGTTTCATATTTCAAATCCTTACTTATCAATACAAAACTTTTGCCATGGCCTACTGAACCAACTTACTTTTCACCTCTTTTATGGGTCACCCTATGTTGGAATATTTTATTCCAGGGTCAATAATCAACTGTATGTGCAGATGCATGGAATTTTATAATTGATTTTCTTAAGACAGTGGTATGATTACTTGTAAATCAATGACTTTCGTATTTAATCGTATGTATTTTGTGTAATGATGGAAAAAATATTAGCTTGAAGCTCACTAGACCCTTAGTTACAGCATTATTCTAGTACTGATTTTAGTATAGGGGCGAAGACGTGATGAGTCCATTGCCAATAAATAACTTACGTACCAAATAAAGTGCTTTTAGCTTCCCTAGAAGACAGTTTTATGACAAGTAAAATGATATGCAAACAACCCCATTCCGTAAATCACATTAAAACTAATTTTACAACAACAACAACAAAAATTATTCGGTGATAATAACTATTAAGACTTACCTAGATGTCGATAAAGTTGACCGAGAATTTTAGCTGGATAAACGTTTATTCCAGCTTCATTATAAATCTCTTCAAATGTTTGTACTTCAACTTGATATTCCATTAACTGTTGTTTAATCTCGTTATCTTCAGCTACAAGTACAACTTGCACTGATAGGTCTGGTTTCGGTTCAGTAACCTTTAGTTAGACAAAAAAATAATGTGAAAGATTGAAAATAACTAAGAACAGAATTGTAAGTCAGTCACAACACGAGTAGCTCAATGGCAATGTTTCAAACTGTGAGGCTGAATAATCTGGATTTGAATTCAGTTAGGAAAACCCTCAGTCCCCTCAAGATTACAGACAGACAAACAAACAAACAAAAAGAAACCAATTCGGAACCTGACACAGATGTGTGTTGGTCCAAGTCGTGATACCACATTAGCATGACGAGATGGAAACAACAAAAGAGATCGAAACAATGCAATAGCCATGATAAAAAAGGCTAAACATTGGGAATATGGTTCGAGAAGACAAAGTGGAAAGGTATGTATCAAGAGATAGTGAGATTCAATGTCTAAAGAAAGATAAAGAGTGCATCTGTACACTAGTAAATGATTCTAAGTCACATCGTCTAAAATCTCCAACTACGAACCGCGGTTATCACGTGGACCATAACCAGGTAATCTGCATCTTCTAACATGGCTCAGACCAGTTGTCAATCACTTCATGGATTGATGCCATGTCTTGGTTTGGCTGTTCACAGCTTTCTTCCAACCCACTCCTGTACTACCAAACATCACCCTCGAGGTAGACGGTGATCAGGAATACGTAACACATGTTCTTACCACCACACTCAATTTACCATCTTTACTAAGTACCCTATCTCTAACTCAGCATTACTTACTCGAGCGTTCCACGAAACATGAGAACTGACTCGAAGACACCTATGATCGAAAACCTTCAGCCTAAACTTTCCTTCTACTTTCATAGACTATATTTCACAGCCATAAAGCAAAACAAGACAGACTATTGTACAGTATACACGCCATTTGGTTGGGAGACAAAGATTTTGTTTATTTATTATTTATTTGAACACATAAATATTGGTACAAGAGAGCGCCAATATATATGCGCCACACAAAACAATGAGAATTTGAAGAGAAAGAAAAAAAGAGGTAGGGAGCGTGAAAAGAAGTAACAATAACGAAGAGGTTGGTGTAAGGTAGTGTAGTAATAATAATAGTAATAATGAGGGGACGGAAAGGTACAATCAGAAGAAATCTTTCAGTTAAGGAAGACACAACCACTTTTTATGAAAAAAGTAAAAGAAGGCTACAGCAGGATCGCCACTGGTTTTTATTCTGAGCCATATCTGATAACGTCTCTAGACACTGTGTAGCACCATCTCTCGGACCCCAACCAGGGAGTCGTGAAGGACCGACAGAAGCCAGTCCTTTGCAGCTTTCATACCAAAGATTTTGACTATGTTACAAGTAAGACTAGTTGGATAAAGCTAAGCTACATGTCGTAATCTGTGTCGATGTTTCGCCAGAAACCAACCCAACAGGGATGACAGGATTTTTAAGAGAAAGAAAGTGGTCGATGAGCTCAACTAACTCTTTTTCACTAGATCAGACATTGGCTCACAACAGTCCTACAGCAAAATTTCGGATTTAGAGGGAGAAAAACATATCTCAATTGTGAAAAGATTGCCAATCAGAACACCGACTTATACGACCTTGGCGTTGTGCCAAACAGATGATGCGTTAACCAGAACGAGCAGCCTAGAGTCAGCTGTGTCCTTATTAATCCTTTTAGCCTAGCCCTGTCCGTTGAGTTCAGAACACAATATCGGCTTCCACTGTATAAATCATGTATTTCAGACATATACAGTTTATATACAAGCAAACCAGACCACATCACACCATAAAATAGGAAATAACAGGATCAAGTCAAAAGTGGCTGTGATTGTGAGAGACTGTAACGAATAAATTGGAGATAAGTTAAGAATGGTAAATCGTATCGCAATAATCAGTATATATATATATATATATATATATATATATATATATATATATATATATATATATATATATATATATAGCTTAGTTACTTAATGAGTATCAAATAAGAATACATGTAATAATAGTCCATAAATAATTACTAGCAGTTACCATCCATTTATTCTTCGTTAGGATATAACAGTTTATCTCTATGATGCAAACCCTTTTAGCTGTATTTGATTGTGAATTGGTAATTTGTAAGCGTTGTTCAGATTTTGATACATGCATTCGTTCATTGAAGATCCTGGAACCCGTGTGCACTATTAGTTAAGAAGCATGATTTTTTAACTCCCCCTACACAAAAACTCTGTGTCCACTAGTCCAGTTTAAGCACTGGACGTTTGCTTTTTTTCTTTTCAACCTCGTTAAAACAATTACCACCCAATTGTAGTGAGTAGGAATTCCCTAGCAAAGGACATAAACGCGTGGCCATTTCAAGATAGAAAACATACATTCATTTCGTTTAATTAGTTAATACAAATAGTTCCAGATGAGTTGTAGTGTACTGCATAAATCTGCATTTAGTTTGTTGGATTCATTCAAATTACTTCAGTGATTTTCCTGAAGTAAAAAAATTCCGTTATGATGTGAACTATTTTAATGAATTATATTAAATGATATTATATTTGTATGAGTGAAAGTGAGAAAACTTATTTTTAAAAACAATTAGCTATGTCACATACCATACGTCTTCCAAGGGGGTCTATTTCTCCAGGCAATAGAAGACCTTCATAAATAATACTTGCCAATATATATAATGACTGACCCCATATATGTGGTAATGCACCGACTGGTACACGTGTTTGTGTATGTGGATGAGCGATTTCTGCATCGATCGCGTCTATAGGTAATGAATAGGATTCTGGTACGTAACAACATGCTCTGCTAAGAACCTGTGTTGTTATTTCACTTGGTCTACGACTTGCACTTCTACTACTGTTTGAAGGTGTAAACGAATGAGACGACTGAAAGGAATAACAAGAAGTAACTTTAAAGCAATACCACATTTGATTTATGATAGTTCAACGTTCACATAAGGGTGGAATTGTATGTAAAAGTTTTCACAATACAATCCGACCCAAGCACCTACGAATAATTGTTTAAAATATAACTCAGTAATTAATGACTCAACGTTGAAAGATATCTTGGTGTTGTTAGAGCTAGTGATATTATCCAGTTACCGAAATGACAACAGAATAAATGCGATTAACGGGGCTTATATTCCGAAAACCAGTGATTGAAAGATTAAGTCATCACTTTGAAATTATTTTTTTTTATTTGAACACATAAATATTGGTACAAGAGAGCGCCAATATATATGCACCACACTTAACAAGCTAGTTTACAATGAATACATAACCTGATCAAATTTTCATGTCTCTCTATCTAGCAAGATCATGAAATATCCAAACTGAATACAAGGATAAATGGAAATGTGTGGATATTTTACTGACAGATTTTACTGTTATGAAATTATCACAAATAGTATGATTTACAAATCTTTCTGTGGAAGTTAGTGTTTTTGAGGGCCACCGATTATTAGATTCAATCTTTTACCTGAAAGGTATTGATTATAAACCGAACAATTGGATGGACTATGACTTAATTTTTTGTAAACAGTAAACCATAGTTAAGAAGGCTACGAGCGTGGTAGTAAAACTAACAACAGAAGTTAATACGTTTATATATTATTTAAAGTTAGTTAAGATTTTATGCTTTAGTTGAATCGGGGTAGCATCACATTTGTCAGGACTGCACTACAGTGATTCGGATAAATTTAGAATTCAGTTCAGATGACGATTATGATCAGTAATGTAGGAATAGTTAAAATGAACTCAATTTGTAAATAATTTCTGTTCATATTTTTATCTTTTATAATCTTGTTCAATGTACAATCCTCATTTTAGCTGTAAAACGTTGTTTGTCTTAATGTTAACTTCCTTCAAGAACAAGTGATAAACATCCAGCTCCGAGTGAATTCGTCTTGGTTCGCATTGAAGCAGTCACAGTCATTAAAACGGAATGCGAAGTGCTTTATTGGCTAACTGGACGTGCAGAAAACTATCCCAACCGACGAATGAGTCTCAACTTTTGGTCTTTAGTCAAAGTAACCCAAATTAAGCATTTTACAGGCGAGATACTAATCTATAAGAGAATGAAAATCTGGTGGAACACGTTATTGGGTAACATGATGAGGAGAAATGTTAACTTGGAACATTTTTGGGAAAATGGTACTGAATTAAATTTCAGATAGTTGGAAGGACTTGTACAAAATGTTCTCAATATTTCTGTATTCCTCGAAGAAGGGTTTTTTCAGTCGTGCAACTATTGTTCTCATATTTAAAAACAAGATCATTAGTACATGTGTATTTCACGATTACATAATCAGACACAGCTAGCATTACTTTGCATTGATAGCGTAATACTTTAAAGTTTACTGAAATGCTAACAAACAAAAGCAATTGCAGTTCACAACATGAGCTGACCTTAGTTAAGCAACCACTCAAAACCAGGAATCACTGGACAACTGTTTTGTTCCAGTATGAGACTCCTCAAAAGTGTGCACCCATGACCCCATCTGGGATGACTCAAGATCCTAAGATCTCGCTGGGAGTGGTCAGCCTTTAGAACACAAAGCCAGCATCCAGTGGTTGAAGTCAAACACGTAAACTATTGAATGTCAGCCCAGTAATCTAAAGGTTGAGACATGTAGGTCAGGGATCTAAACCTTAGTGGGTTATGAATTCACACTGCTGAGGAGCATCGTGATAGGGCGAAACAACCGTCCAGTGCTTCCTGATTTCCAGTGGTTGTCTAACTAAGGTCAGTCTGTTATGTTAACTATGAAGCTTGAAAATCTCCACAAACCACTCATGCTCATAAAACCAATTACCTCTGGGATAACGACTTCTTGAAGCATTTGCATATATCGATCTGCATCGTCAAAATCTTCACGGAAACTTGCATCAATCACAAGCCATGCAAAAAACATTGGCCATTCACATTCAATACCATCAAACATACGTAGCTCCCAAGGCTCGTAATACAGACGGTTCACATCTTCTCTAGCAGTACGAAATCCATCACGTAAAAAACGTCGACAACCATATCTAGTATCAAATTTATACGAAAACAAAAGTGTTAACAGGTTGCAAAATGCTTTTGTAAGGAAGTAGTTTAAGTCAGGATGTCGTTTGAATAAACTCTCACACAACAGTTTGGTCATGATACATTTGAGAAAATAATTAGGGTCAAAACATTAAACGAATGAAATCGATAAACCTTCTATAATGGTAAGCTAGCAGATAGAGATGAAACTATAATATAAAGCAGCTCGAAATACATAAAACTAGGCAGTGTGTTGGAATCACTAACACACAAAATTCAATATATAGCATAAATCTATGTAATACAATAAAAATATTTCGAGTCCATAACCCGGGCAGTATCACAGTCCTTACACAAATCAAATGAGATTTGTGTGGCGCATATGTATCTGGTGCCCCCTTGTACCAATATCTATGTGTTCAAATAAATAAAATAACCATAACATGATAAAATAAATTAACGTATACATTTTACAGAAGAAATTTATTTAGATGGCTAACTTGAGATTCCTAGTTCGGTTCATGTGAACTTCAATAGTGAGGTGACTCCATATGCCTAATTTTAGTATAATCACTCACCAATAACTCATAATAGATATAGTGGAAAGATAGCTGAGCCACTTCAATCAATAGATTATATTATCAACTGGCTTACACGCTTTTGCACAGAAGTTTGTAAACTAACTTCCACACAACTTACTTCATTACTTCTCCATGCTTCAAGGATACTTAAAATTGATTTATTCTCAACTCTTCTAGCCTAGTGACTCATATTCCATAGTTATAGATTGTCTGACTTTATACAAGCCAATAGTTCATGCCTTGATATAAGTAATGACATCACAATTGCTCTAACTGATTGCCGATCTCCTAACAGCTACTGTAATGTTTATATTTGAAGATTATCTTCAATTACGTAAATCTGGAATATCTTAAAGAACGGTATTCTAATTATTTACCAAGACAAAATCGTTCAAATTATCATCATAGTCTTAAACGATTGCTAACCTCCCCAAAAGCTTCCGAATGATTGCGCTACGTGTTCTTTCAATTAATTCATCGTCCGTGACAGCAAATCCAGGATATGTCAGTATACTTAACAAGCCAGCATCGGTCTCTTTGGAGTTGGACTCACGAGGAAGCATACTTTTAACAGCTATATTACACTGTTCACATTCGTCGAGAGAAACACGAATTGTTGATAGATAACTTCCATCAGCACCAAACAAATCTAAGTCTGTAAGCGCCTCCAAAGCTGCCTGAAATTAAAAGAGAGGGTTATATATACACTCAGTAATTATATTCTAAATACTATGAGCTAATAGTCCAAAACACAAAGTGGATTCTATAGGTTATAACGTGTAGACTTTTATTTATGTCGTAATTATTATGATCACTTTTAAATCCAAAGGAATTAATTTTGGCATAATGGAAGCTCAAGAATAAAACAGCAAAAACCAAGTCAAAAATAGTCAGTCAGTTAAAACGTAGGACCAGGCACATATATACATTGGTCCAAGTTGCCACACCTCATTAGCACAGCAAGACGAACACTGGATTTATAGAAGCAGTTAACTCAATGGTGTAATATATAAAAGAAAGATTTTATGTAGGGATATAGTACAGAAAGAGAGAATTAGTTCGTAGTAAGAAAGATGTGAAGCGATTTTAATCTCATAGTTTAAGAGAAAACAAAGAGTGTATACACCTACGCCATTGTGATCGATTCTGAGCCACGTCACGTAGTCTCCAACTACTAGTTACGATAGTCGCGGGGACCCCAACCAAGTAGTCTGCGTCCACTAACATGGCTCAGACTAGAAGTTAGTGACTTCAAGGACTGATGCCACGTTTTGGTTTGGCCGTCCCTAACTTTATTCCAACCATTCCCAACATTAGTCAGCATTGTGCGTCGTGGTAATCGGTGTTCAAGGCAAAAATAATCTGATTATTGAGTAGAACATCAATTAGGTCATAACATACCACACAACAAAAGTAGACTACATTTATTGGTGAATTTTTAGGCGCGAAAAACAAATCTTTATTTGTTATTTATTTGAATATATTTGTACAAGGAGACACCAAATACATATGTGTCACACAATAACAATGAGGCTGTGAAGAGACGGAGGATGTAAAGTAAGTATAATAAAAAGAACAACAACAATGAACAGAAATAAGTGTATGAGAGTGAAATAATAATAATAATAATAATAATAATAATAATAATAATAATAACAATAATAATAATAATAGGAATAGGAATAATAATAATAATGGGAGTAGTTCCGTTAGCAAAAATATAACCAGAAAGAATTCTTCCAGTTAAAGAAGTTACGTTCATTTTTATGAAGTAAAAGAAAGTTACGGCAGGATCACCACTGGTTTCTATTCTGAACCATATCTGATAAGTCAATCAGTCAGCTATAACGTAGGACCAGGCACATATGTGCATCGGTCCAGGTTGCCATACCACATCAGCACACAAGATGAACACCGGATCCATATCTGATAACGTCCCTAGCCACTGTGTTGCACCATCTTTAGGACCCCAACCAGTGAGTCGTGAAAGACTGACAGAAGCCAATCTTATACAGCTTTCTTCCATATCACGACATCATGTCATACACTGACCACCTCTCCACTTTTCCCGACCAGTCCCAGCGTCGGCAAATAATGCAGATGGAATTCTCTGGGACGACATTCGCAAGACATGTCAAAGCCACCGAAGTCGATGTTTCAAGATAGTGACACCAATTGGATTGTCGTCCCTGTGCCCGAACACACGATGCCGAATCTCTGCATTACTAACATGGTGTTGCCACTGGATGTCAGCAATCCTTCGGAGACAGCGTTGATCGAACACAGAGAGTCGTCTAACATCCTGAACTCGGAGAGGCCAGGTTTCACAAGCATAGAGCAGAACCGCTCTCACCGACGCGTTGTAGATCCGACATTTTACAGCCAGACTGACATCACGAAGGCGCCAAAGAGTGACCAAAATGGCATAAGCCGCTCTGGTTCTCACTAAACGTGAATTGATCTCGCCCCTCACGTAACAGCCAGCACTTACGCAGCTACCCAGATACACGAACTTCTCGACTACTTCTACCTACTTACTATCCAGAGTTGATGCAGGTTCATGGCCTTGCCGATCTCGTCATAGTGCTCTGCACTTAGAAAAGATTAAAAAGCCTTTCTCCAAGCAACAGATCCACACTACCACTACCTACATCCATCAGAGCTGTTTCCAGAACGCCACTGATGGCAAAGTTGAAGAGCAATGATGACTGAGCAACCCTGCCGAAAAAGATAAATACACGAGTGCAACAACAATTCCTGAACATTTGATACTTTAATATAAAATAGGAGAAACTGAATCGGTAGAATCAGTTTTGAACCGTAAAACATGTTACAGGATAGAAAGTATTGTATCTAGTGTCCATGTTCAACCGACTTGTGATTTAGACAAGCCAGGCAACCAAGTGACCGACTTTTGTCTCAAAGCTACCACCTGAAGGCATTCTTCTGTTTCAATATTAAACTAAAACGGAATTATCGTATGGTACTTTAGATCTTATCATTTGAAATAATGGTTAACTGACAAGAAGAACCGCTATTCGTCGTATGACAACTGAATTTTGTCTTGGTTTGTGGATCAGAAGCAAGTTTACGAACCTTGTTTTGAAACATGTTTGCTGAGTGTAAGCTAGAGATTAATATCTGCATTCTCAAATCGAAGCAGGTAGACTAGCGCTCGAACCCAAGACTAGATGGTAAGAAGTTGAGTGCTTAGATCATTGATCAACAATTTACTGGTGCCTAAGTAAACCGGAAAGGTAATAATAACTTTTAGCATGCCATACCGTTCGCTAAAACTGTGTTAAGCAAGCACAGAAATCACATAAAAATACAAAAGATTATCCATAATCAATACTAAGAATCTGTCATGTTACAAACATAATAACGCACAGATTTTCCCTGGTCTCCGGCCGTCATAAAAACGTAACTTTTGATGTTATTTCGGCATCTTAACCTGTAATCTTTGAGCAAGACCACGAAATAATAATTTTTTAACGGCAACCCCTTTTATCACAGAATACTTGAAGTATCTCAATAACAAGTCATATCACTGCAGTTTAGTTTGAGCTTGGATATAATTGGACTTTTGTATATTATTTCGATAGTTGAGAAATGAAAAGAGTAGATGGGGAAGTTTCAATGAACTGGTGATCAATTCGTTTACAAAACAAATGATTTTTAGAGCATTAAACCACAGTATCAATGAACCATGAATTTTAGATTGAATCTGGAACTTTTAGCAAATCATATAAACGCAAAAATTAAGCAAACAGCAGACGTTACCTACCTTAGCCATTCCAACAGATGTTGTATTAAGTTCTGGAAGCCCATGATTGGTTTTATCTCCACGCTCCCATATCCCGTAATCCTGAGAATTTTTTTATATTAAAACATATTTCCTTACAGGAATGCGATAAGCGTGTTCAATACAGAAAACCAGATTCTGAACAAAAGCTACTTCTTCAAGAGTCCAGATAATGCGCAAACCTAAAAAAGTCAATCACTTGGTAACAATTACCAGCAGCTGTCATTTGAGCAAGAATAAGAAGAAAGACAGATATTGCATCAATTTGCAAATGACCCCATTCAAGATCACCAACAACAGTTTTATATGAAGTACTGTCAAACTTTGCATGTAATGAATGGATAGGATTTTGAGTCTTCTTCAATAGTTCTACTTTATCAGACTGTTTCATATAGCAGATGAGTATGCCACGCATCAGCTTCACTACACACTAAGAGAATATTTATTATTATAAAAGAGTACCTTTTCCAACTCATAACTCCGACAACGATCTTCATCAACATCTGGTAATTTCCTATAGACCAGAGATAGACCCCAGATAGAAAGTGAAGCATATGTGTTATCTCTAACCCATGCATGTGAGCTTTTCGAAGAAGATGGTATCAGTCCAGTTATAGAGTGCTATAAAAACACTGAAACCCAAAGCGCAGAAAATACCTGATAACATAAAATGCTTGATTCGAGGAGGGTGAAGTAAAAATCAAGTTTCTTTTTATCCATTATCTTAAACAGCAACTATGGTTACCACAAATCAAATCTCCAATTCCCGTGTAACAGAAGTAATGACCTAATCTCTTAGTCTCTGATGATGAGGATGTATCCGTTTTGTTTGGATTTCACCAAATTCCTAAAAAAACATAACGTATCAAGAATAAAAAATGGTCTCAGCCACAGGTTGTAAAGAACTGTTAGCAGTTAAGGACAAATTTTCTTTAACTACCGTTTATTTGACTCGAATCACTATCATATACTTGATAGAACCGAGCAATGGTAAACTCTTGGGCTTTCATCTAGAACTTATAGAATACTCTGTGTGAAGAGACTATGTCACTCAAATGATTAAAGTCGGCCACGAGGTTTCTGAGAATGCAGTTGACCAGTGAAAAATCGGAGGCAAAGTTACCCACAGAGGTATATACATCAATAATGAAATAAAAGTAAGGTGTACCTTACAAGAATGACAATCGTCGTCACCTAGCATAACAAATTACAATAAGCCTCTGAATCAGTTAGCAAATCTAAGTGTATCGCTTCTAATAGCATGACATAACTATTTAGTACTTTTAGGCTACTGTAATGAAGTCTCCAAATATCATTTGCCAAAATGTTCAGTTTATGGACCCTGAAAACATATCTTTCTGCCATGGTCTAGTAAAGCTCTGAGATGAATGATATACCTCCACCCAGACAGACAACCTGATTTTTATTGCATTAATATTACGAAGCCTTAGTTATTTGTCGGTCAAATGACTCAAAACTATGTAGGACATACCGACTGATCAACTGCCGAAAAGTGAGAATATATCTGGAAATTGAGACTACCAGTTATGTACATAATACTGAACACAATTATCACAAAGGTATAATTTATCAGTCGACAAAGGAATGATCAGGAACGGAGATAATGAACACAAACCAAACAGTGGTGACTTAATTCAACTATTAGCAACGGTAAACCACCATTAGTTTTCAACTCTGTAGTTAACAAATACTAGTTATTTCAGCAATTTTCTTACTGAGCATCGTCTAACGCAGCACCACTGATACATGTTGTGCGTCCGGCGGGATCTTTCCAGTAGGTCCGATGACGTTAGGGAAGAGTTACAAGAACAGTATGGAGAGACGTGATAAGCAAAGGGGTTTTATGGTTGGAAAAAGGTAATGATTTCCAAACACTAATGAACTGTGGGCACTAACGTACGAGGTGCATTAGCTTACAAGAAAAATTGCGACCATAAGTGGCATTTTTGAGGCTTTTTATTTGTAGAACACTTTTAACAAAGGATACTCTGCGAAAACTTAACCGCCTAATCTCCATATTTTTAAAAACTTTGGGTAGATCTTGGGGTTTTTCGCAGTCAGTTTCAGTTTCAGTTTGGGAAGGATAGGAGGCTCGATGGCCTATGTTAGTCCTGGCAATGGTGGTCTATCAGTTGATCCAACTTTCTTTTGAAAGAGTCGACGGATGGAGCCTCAACCACGTGCTGAGGTAGTGAATTTCACTCGTTGATGATTCGATGGGAAAGTCGATAGTCAGCTGACAAGTAATTTGTTCTCGGCTTGTGAACTTTTTTGGAGTGTCCTCGTAAATTCTCTGTTTTGGAAGACAAGAAAAATGAGGGCATATTAGGTACAAATTTATCACTAAGCAATTTGTAGACTGTAATCAAGTCGCCTCTAGTTCTGCGATATGACAACGGGAAAAGGTTCAGCTTGGCCAGTCGAGATTCATACGGAAGCTTCGCTATTCCGGGAACCAGCTTAGTCGCCGTTCTCTGAACCTTTTCCAGAAGCTCACTGTCTTTTTTTAAGCAGGGGCTAGCCGCTTGTATGCAGTACTCAAGTTTAGGACGAACGAACACTGTATACAAAGTCAAAAACGTCTTAGCGTCGACATGACTAAAAGCTCTACGTATTGACCATAACGTTCCAAAACTTTTGGCGGCTATTGCACGGCAGTGTGCAGTAGTCTTTAAGTCTTGACTAACGATGACTCCTAAGTCATTATATGTCTGGACGACAGGTAGCTCAGTGTTATTCATCGTGTATGTATCTGTGCCTTGATGACCGATATGCATCACAACACACTTGGAAGTATTTATCGGCAACTGCCATGTTTGAGACCGTTCAGATAACTTCTTCAGGTCATTTTGAAGTTCTAATCTATCACTCTTACATCGTATCGTTCTCCATATCTTGACATCGTCAGCATATAGCAAGACCGATGATGATAGGAGACAAGGAAGGTCATTTACATACAAGAGGAATAGCACTGGCCCCAAAACTGTACCCTGGGGCACTCCACTAAGCACAGTTTCCCAGCTAGACAACTTGGAGTTCACCCTTACTCTTTGTTGACGCCCAACTAAAGTCTTTTATCCACATCAATAAATTACCTCCAATCCCGACATGTCTTAACTTATATAACAGCCGATTGTGCGGAACTTTATCAAAAGCTTTACTGAAATCAATGAAGGCGACGTCTACAGGTAGCTTTTGGTCCTTAAGAGCACACCAGCTTTCACGAGCCACTAATAAGTTAGTGAGACAAGAATAACCTATTCTGAAGCCATGCTGCTTCTCCGAGAGGATCCGGTTTTTATCGAGATACTTAAACAGCTCCTTCCGAATAATCTTTTCTAATATTTTAACAACCACACTAGTTAGGCTAACGGGGCGGTAGTTCTCAGGTTTGTGTTTCGTGCCTGTTTTGAAGACAGGACTTACTATGGCATTTTTCCAATCTTTCGGTAAGCGACCCTGCGTGACGGATAGGTTAAAGCATGTACTTAAAGGGCTTGCAACGAAGTTAGATAATTCCTTCAGTAGCCTAGGATGTAATTCATCGGGCCCCATGGATTTACCTATGTCAAGCTTATTTAGCAGACCAAAGACATCGAGTTCTTTAATGGTCACGCTATCCAGTGTATGTATGGGGGGAGCTGCATACGCTGACGAGAAGGGAGCTTCTATGGTATACACGTTGCTAAAGTAGTTCGAGAATGCTTGAACCTTACGAAAGTCGTCCTCCACTAATGATGAAGCAGTGCTGTCTCCCCATAGAGCAGGAATATTTCCTTTTCTCCTTGTCCTTTGGTTTATATAGGAATACAAGCGTTTAGGACATTCTATGGATTCCTTAACAAGTTTTTCTTCGTACAATTTTCTAGACTTACGGAGGGTCGAGGCACAAGTGTTCCGAGCCTTTCGATACTGAGATTTTGACTCATCAGTCCCCTGTAACCTAAATCTATCCCACATTTTCCTTTTCTTACGGAGAAGGATACGGACCTCCCTACTGAGTCATGGTGGTGAGTTTTTCGGCCCCTTTGGTATAGTCCAAGGGATGTGAGGTGTGGTAACTTTTAAGTATGAATTTCGAAATGTGTCCCAGGCCGTTTCAATGGAGGACTCTGGGTCTATTGTCCAATCTATTAACGATGCTGAGTGCATGATGTCTGGTATGTTTGCTTTCCAGACGTTGGGTCTGTACTGGACTGACGCGTCCTCATGACTGGCAGTTATATGGAAGTCGAAAGTTAAAACTGCGTGGTCACTTTTACCTAAGGGTGGCATATGATGGAGGTTCGCAACATCATCCTCATAGTGAGTCAGTATAAGATCTAATAAGGATGATTCAGTGTCCGGATCGTACCTTGTCGCTTCTTTCACATGTTGCACTAGAGCACATGTGATAACCGCATCAACTAGTTCCTGCTCGAAAGAATTCTCCGACGATTTAGTTCGCAGATTTTCCCAGTCTACCATAGGTGCATTAAAGTCCCCTAGGATTAGACATCGACCACTTTGGGATCAAGTATTGAGACTGCTTAACAGGATCTCATTTGCCTCACAGCTTGGACTGCGATAGACCAAACCAATCAGCAGCTCTTGTCCCTTGCATTTTAAGCGAAGACTAACTAATTCACACGTCCCACTCTCATGGGATACACTATCGATAATGGTAAATGGGATAGCATTCCTAATGAATAGAGCTACTCCCCCTCCTTTGCGCTTTTGTGTCCTGTCGGCCCTTACTAACGTAAAGCCCTCGAAATCAAGTTCCATAATATCTATAGCCTGTGTCAGCCAGGTTTCTGTTACTGCGATTATATCTGGCTTTATAGAGTCAATCTGTACACCTAGTTCCGATCGCTTATTAAGTAAGCTTCGTGCATTGGTGTAACAGATCCGAAGCCTGTTTAGGTGCCTTCGTGCTTCACCCAGAGTGGCTTCGGCATCATTCTCTGTCGAAGTCTTACAACCCGAAAATTTACAATTTTCAGGTCCTTTTCGCCAGCGTCTAACCTATGTTGTGATTCTTTCTCGGCTTCCCGTCTTTTAACACGGTTTGCCAACGGTAGGTCCTTTCGGATAAAGACTCCTGAACCCTTTAATTTGTGTCCATTTTGTAAAATTAGGTCACGTTCGTTCGAAGAGCCGAATACTACTTTAAGCAGTCTGTAATGATTTGGTTTCGAGTCCGTTAGACTCCCTAGTCTGTACACCTTTAGCAATGTGACCCCGGTCATGAGTTGATTAAGCAGCTGACTAATCAGTACAATGTCATGTCGTAAAACATACGGTCGTTTTCCCCAAATTTTGGGGAAAAACCTTAAAATTGTGTGGGATTCTGGGGAAATATTGGAAAAAAACCCCAAATTTTCCAATACTTTGGGGATTGTCTCCGGACCTAAGGAAAATTTTGGGTTTCATGCTATTTCCCCAAAGTTTTCTATAGCGCCTCCCAAAAACAGACAAATTTTTTCCCAAAATGAAGATATCTAGTGGTAATTATGGTTTTATGAAACTTGGCTTATAAGCCAAGTGTTTTCAAACTTTTGCACTTGATATTACTAAAAGTGAATATATCATGTCATAATATTTGAGATCAGTCAGAATTTAGTAGAGTAGTTTGAGTTTCTATAGAATATAACCAGATAAGCGCATACTTTAATCTAACAACTCCATCACTAAGTTCACTAAGGAACCACCACCTTTGTTCTTGTCGCGGTCAGATTACAAAGGAGTTTCGGAACGTGTAAACACATATCCAATATCCAATATTCCTATGATGAGCTGTATGAAACACTTGATTTCTTTGTACTGGTTTCTTGTTGCCTCAGTAAGGTTTTGGATCTTTAACGATTTCCGATGAGCGATAGTCTGGCTACCCGATCAAACAGTTTAAGGGCTATTTGTGGGTTTAAAATTTTTGTAATGTTCAAATGGTTCAAATAGATGTGGACGGAATCGAAGAAGCTTTCGCTTAACAGGCTTCCGTTTCTAGGATCAGGGTATCACGAATAACTTCAGGCAGGAACCTAGGTGTGTTAACAATAAAAGAGGAAAAAGAAATTGGTAAATCATAGTATAGCGACTCACGTGCAAATGAGTTTAGTCTCATCTAACGCAGTGAAGCCCTTTTGCTAATTCATTTAGCGGACAAAGTCATCCGCACTATAACAACTTATTGTACCCTTATTATTATGTGCTTGTATGAAATACGTATGCTTGAACATTGCTTACGGCCTACGCATTTATTCACTCTGCTAGTCTTACTACTAACTGATTATTTGATTCGATTACTCATTCATTTCACATGCTATACATATGTCCATGTTATTCATACTCACTCACTCACACAGTCTCGTCTCGCTCTTGCTATGGCTCTCGCTCGCTTGCTTGCCTTTCGGCACAACTCTTCTATGCTTGTTTAACGCATCTGTACATTTGGATATATGTGTGTGGTCTCGTAATAAACGTAATCAACACTTCGTATTTGCCTTCTGATTAATATACCGTTGAGACGTTATGTAGAACGGTTATCAAGACGAGCTGTATACGAAGTTTAAAGATTATATCGAATACCGACCACCACAATATTGTGATACTATCCTTAATCCTTAAGAATAGATCAAGTTGCCTCTTAAAGGACTCCTGGGAAGTCGCTTTAACTAGCTCGGCCGTCAGACAATTCCAGCATTTGACAACTTCCAAGGAGTAAGAGTTGTGTCTACAGTCCGTTCTGCTATGTTGTGTCTCCAATTTATGGGTGTTGCCCCTTCGGTTGGTATTGGGACTAAGCTTAAGCAGGTGTTTAAGAGGATGTCCAGAAGTGTTAAGGATACTGTAAGCCATCAGAAGGTCATCTCTAAGACGCCTATGCTCTAACGGGTAAAGGTTAAGTGATTGGAGGCGCTTTTCATGAGGTTTAAATTTGAGTCCTCGAACTGATTTCGTGGCTCGCCGTTGGATACGCTCCAGTGTCCTTATCCTTTTGAAGTGAGGGAGGAAATACTGTTTCCGTACTCTAAATGGGGACGGATAAAACTATTGAAGATTATGTGGAAAGTTCTTCCGTCAAACTGGCCAAAAATGCGCTTCAATGTTACCAGTGCAAGGTTTGCTCGGAAGGCATTTTTGTCACAGTTAGCATAAGACTTTAAATCATAGGGCACCAGGACTCCTAAGTCTTTTTCGACTTGGGATACTACTAGAGAGGAGTTTCCTAAGTTATAACTGTAGTCTGCGGGATGTCGCAGATGGACTACTTTACACTTTGAAGTGTTAAAGGTAAGTCTGTTATCGTCTGCCCAACTTTGAAGTTGAGTCAGATCCTTATGAAGTGTCTGTGTAACAGCTTAGGTTGGTTGGTTGACAGTTGACCTTAAACAACCAAGCATATGCATAAACAGTATAGTTCAATTATTCATTCACTTCCTTATTTTGTATAGGCGTTATATTTCCTATTATCTTATATAGAATGTTGAGAGACTTTGTTTGTCTGAACGAATAATCCCACTCGGCTTAGCGAATGTGAGAACATCACGCTAAGCGGCGTTGCTAGGATTGAGGCTGCTTCCCTCAGTATGGCAGAATGGACCATATCTGGGGCAGGAGAAGTGTCTTTTGTTAGGTGTTGCAGTTTCCGGAACATCAAGTCAGCTCTCAGGTTCAATACGGAAAGTCCTGTGTAGTAGCAAATGAAGCTGTCATCAGTATATTTGATGTGGGTCGGTTTAAATGTCCGAGAGTACTGTTCAGCCAAAAGGTTAGCGGTGTCGCCGTCGTTATAGGTCGGGCCGTTAGGACCTAGTAGTTGGGAAACTCCAGTTTCGGCTTGACGAAAAGAAGCTCCATAACGAAATAAGCTTTTCGGATCACAGAGTATCCACATCGAGTTGAGGGATATTGTTGCTGTTATATATTGTTACATAGCAGTTACTTTGATCTGACACTTATCATAGCTACCTTTGGAGCCTCGTTTTGTCTACCTCCGGCCCTAAACCAACTTCGCCTCTCTAAAAATCAATGTTTTACAAAAACTAAGTAAAATACACCACTTTAAACACCGAAACTCTGACCTGGTCTTCACAAAGAAATTGTGACCCCTGGTGGTGTGACCCGAGATTCCTCAAAAGCCACAAGGTGAATGTCTTTTCCGTTAACGAAAGCCAAAATCGATACAAATACATGGGATACTAATGTTATTTATAAGCTCAAAGGGGTCATTAAAATAGAGTTGAAAATAGGACAACACTCCCATGAATGTAAAATGTTAGTTGGATGTATATATCGGGCTTCAGACACTCATAGTTCTAGTGGCACTACTACGAGTGAGTCATTTGCTAAGAGTGTCTCCCTTATTTTCGCCTGCAAGACTGTTTGTTGTGATTTGAACCGTCCGAGCATCAACTAAAAGATATACTATGATCCATACTTAGTACCTGAAACACACATTGTTGGCAGTAACATTTACACCTGCCTACACGAAACAACGCCATCTTCGACTTGATATTCTGCCACACTGTCACTGTCAGTGGTGGTTGACGGAAAGTTTCACAACAGCGATCATAAAATAGTCCTTTTCACTCTATTGGTTCCTCCAAAATGCAACAGACCCAAGACAATAAATATAGAGACTGTGCACACGCTGACTAAGAAAGCTTTCGGTTCATACTGAAGCGCTGTGAATGGAACAGTTTCTCCACTAGTGATAGGCCCCCAGAAACACGAGAAATATTCACTACTACTCCTATGTCTTCACTAGACACTATTTTTCGATATGAAATCTCTTTTTCTTGTTACTCCATACATTAACCAATAAATAGGTCTAAGCCAAAAATGGCATATTGTATATCAAAAGAATTCAGTGCCCAGCGCCAAATATAAACGGCACTGGAGGGTGTGCAAAGTCAGCATAAAAAACATAAACATTCGGACGAACGTGCTGCGCATCTAAATTCAAAAACTCATGTCGTCTCTTTGTAAAACTCATACGAAAGAGTGTGGATCACAACATGCACTTCATGCTCTACGATGGTGTGACGTATAATGATTGAACTGTCATTTGTAAACTGCTAAGTGGATGGCTTTCCCAAAATATGAGTAAATTTTATGCCCCAGATAATAACATCAGGCATACCAGTAAAAATAATTTTATTACCACTAACTTTTATCTTAGTAATATACATTCCGACATCAAAACACTGAAGCCAAATGTAAGTTCTGTTGCAGGTGACATCCCATGAATTCTTTAAAAAATGGCAGGACAGGACATAAGAACGACATTGCTCAAAATGTTCACACTATCCTTAGACACAGGTACATATTCTAAAACCTGAAGGGTAACGTATGTTGTCCGCATACACAAATCAGGACCGAAAAATCTGGTCCAGAACTACAGATATATAATTATCGCCCCAGATATATCATGCATAATGGGAGAAGTGATAAAAAATCAACTGTCAGACCATCTACTTAAGGAAAACCGACCCGTCACAACATGGCTTCACTAGAACAAAGTCCTGTAGGATTCCTGTGAGACTTCTTTAACGAGGTTACTCGTAAACGTGACCAAAAGCAACTAGTGGTTATACCGCATTTCAATATCAAGAAAACTTTTGACAAGGCACCTCACAACCCAATCAACAGACAGTGGTCAGCTGGAATTACTAACCCACTATAGTAATGCGTTAAACCCTTTCCCGCGAACAGATACGAAATAACTAAAATTAATTCTACAACATATACACATCCGCCAGTAACCAGTGTTGTGCAGGGTAGTATCTTGGATCCATCGTCTTTTACAATCTACATCAACAGTATATTCAGATCCATCAACGCAGGTGAAGTTTGCCTTAACGCTGATGACTTGAAAGTGATCTTTAAAACTAGCAATCGCGATGTACGCAGTACTCTGCAAGCAATCCAGGATGAACACAACAAGGTCGATAACTGGTGTAAGCGATGGAGCTTAGAACTGAACACAGAGAAATGCGGCTGGCTATGTGTTGGAGAAATATGTGTTAAGGTGAAAATAACAACTAACAAGAACATACTGCCCAAACGCACGTCAGTAACTAACCTTGGGGTGCATTACTCGTATAATTTTTACTTTTCTGAACATATCTCCATCAAAGCATCTAGAATGACGAAATTTCTAGGCTTCCTGCGAAACAAATCATGAACCACTGTTCGGAAAATATATGTAAGATCTATCGTTAAGTACAGATAGTTCTTAGTTTCCAACCTGCACTTATCCGACACACTGAAAGAGGAAGGAATGCAACGGGAATTTACTCTCAAAATGCTTGAAAGTGACTCACTCATTGACTATCATCCATGATGCCATATCCTAGGACTTGAATCCCTCTGGAAAAGAAGGCTTAGGTTCAATTTGATTTCCTAATTCATACTCCTCTAAAACCTTAATTCATTTGCAGTATAATTTTCATACAGGGCCCACTTATATATGACTTTCGAAACAAAGTACTTACGATCAAATTTGAAAACTGTAGGCCGGAAACTCAGTAAAACATCTTCCTCATCAAGTATGAGTTAATATGGAACAGCCTTCTCTTCGAAATACGTATGACGGATGAATTATATACGTTTGAAGGACATCCTGATGGAGTCCTTGCTTGAACTGATGTAGCACGCGTAAACATATCTGCCCCATACTCAGGCATCATAGGCTCTTTACATGTCTGAGCCACATCAGGCACTGAGTTTAGTTTC